TATATATATATATATATATATATATATATATATATATATATATATATATATTTCCAAAAATTAATTACGTCTTTTAATGTGTATATGCCGCGCGATCGAGAATCTCGGGAAGCATTAACGTTTCCTCATACACGTTGATCGAAAGTGTCTCTGGGCAAATGACGAGAGAATAGAGAGCGAACGGACACGGTGAACGTTAACATCACGACACGTTTGATCGTTTAGATCCGATTGTGCAAGATGAAAATCGCCTCGGCGAGCTCGCAATCGTCGTCCCGCGCCAAGCGCGGCACGTTTCGTAGCGTTTACCGTGTCCGCGTCGCGAAGTATTGCGGAGCTTACGATAAAATATCCGATTTATTACAATAGTTTTCTTTACAAGATTTAATACGGACGTTAAATTAAATACATTATGCATAGATATATGTATATGTCTTTTGTACAAGGTGTGAGGATTTATATATCGCTTCGCGAACGACGGGTACTCGAATTAGACGGTTCCTAGCTCATCGGTCCGAAAAGATAGATCGCCTGACATTTCTCGTTGGGATCGCCGATGAACTGCGCGTACAATTCCTGATAACGCGCCAAAGTCAATCCGCCGCGTTTCCTGTCGTCGTCCTGCAAACGGGATTCCTCAAATGCATAAATGGGTCGCGACACAATAACGATATTCGCGAATTAAAGTGCGCCTTTCCCTTTTTTTCTGTGTGTTCGCTTTCGCTTAGATTTATTATTATAAACATTCTCAGGCAGATTTAGTGTCGCTTACGTTCAGGAGACTCTGAAAAGCTTTATCCAGGGCGTCTATGTTATCCACGGCCATCCTCAGGACGCAGTTATATCGAAACTCGTCGACACCAATCACTCCGTCCTCTGAAATCGACATCACAAAACACAATGAGGAAATTCGGGTATCGATTCGTGATGTCGAAATTTAGAGTTACTTATAAAATTTTATTTCGCTCGATTCTCTTCAAATTGACTTAATCTCGCTGGGATCAATTGTAAGATATTCGTAGTATTGCATCGTGTATATTTTGTGCTCTTGCGAGTGTTATATGATACAATACCATTTATGTCAAGTATCTTGAAGTGAGAATCGATAAACATCTTCATAGCCTGAGGGAAATCGTTATAGGAACGACCGACGCAAGTCTTTTGCACCGCGTCCTTGAACTCATCTATCGTTACAATGCCGTTCTGAAAGCAAGTGTTATAATACATGAATCATCTCTTCAATGTGCGTTCCTCTGCGAAAAATTTGTTCAAAAATGATGTTTCTTCAATGTTTCTTTTATCGATCAAAGTGCATCTAAATGTGTTTATAAGCCAATCAGAATGCTTATAGGTCGCATTTAAGAGCACCTTTATCGATAAAATAAAGTTTAAATATCTAAAAATCGTATTAGGACTCCTGAATACTCGTATTGTTCTAAATACGAGCCTAGAGACGCTTAACAATGCCACGCTTGTTTCTTTGGCGAACGTTGCGGCGAATTTTTGCCTCATCGTGTTTAACAGTTGAATAAGAATACCGAATACTTTTAGGCCTATATTAATAATTGTTATTTAAAACTTGTCTCATATAAAATACTTAGATTTTTATTCAAAGCTGGATCCAAATTTTTCAGTTGAATGATATACGCGACGTTATATCTGTAATCGCGATTCAACTGAAAAACTATCATCCAATTCTGAATTTAAATCCGAGTGTCTTAATTGAGAAGAATTTCAAGTGACGTCTATTAATGTAGGCCTAAAAATCGGTCTTATTTAACTGTTAAACGCGACGAGACGAAGATTCGCCGAGACAACGTTCGCCAAAGAAACCAGCGCGGCATCTCGCGTAGAAGAGATAGTAATCGCGATGAATCGTCGCAGCGAATAAATCGTTTTGAAATGTTAGAAAGATTGCAACAATGACCGTGGGCGATATATCGAGTTACGGCAGTCGAGAGAGCCCGAAGAATTCAGAGAATTTGAAACCGATGCAAGATCCACAAATCGTGCCAAGAGAGAAAGATGTCTATCGGTCGCGGAAACATATATTGTAATATACCTTATCGAAATCCGCCAGATCGGCTATTTCCTCCCATAAGGACAGCATGATGTGCAGGTTTTCCTGATATCGATTGCTATTGAATTCGCCTTTGCCTTCAATCACCGTCATTCTCAACGCCATGCATTCGAAGTCGTGCTTGTCCAGTTCTCCATTGTTGTCAATATCTGCAATTGCACATTTAATTAAAATTATTTTTTCCTCGTTGCGCGATACTTAGATATTGTGAGGGCGACTACAAAGACCAGACAGCACACACAATCTGCCAAAAGATATCTAAGAGACGTCCAAAAGACGTCTAATGTTTTTAGACATCTTTTGGTAATTTCTGTTGTCTGAGAAACAATGGCGTTTTCAATTTTGCAAAATAATCACAACATGTAAATATTTCCTAATATTTCATCGAAAGAATATTGTCTATTATTTATTGATAAATTGTTGCTTGAATTTAAACGATTATATGATTAGAGTGCATTTTGTGAAATTACATCTCACGTCTTCTCGAGACCAGGAAAGCTTCCAAACGTTATATTTCGAAATGAGGGGATTGATATAAATCTTTTCACTTGCGAAAAAGATGAACAAGCGCTTAGAGTCGTGAAATTAATTCGAAATTCGGTAATTTGTTAAGGATCTTGCATCAACAAGTGGACTGTACGCGTTAAATGAGCCAACACGTTGTGTCACCTCAACACAGCATTACTAGTAATGACAAATGTTACAATAGAAACATGATGCAGGAATGAAGCCAACCAAATTTTTTCAGTTTAAATGAAGATGTATATAACTTAGGTTCCAAGTTGAACATATGTGTGTGTGTGTGTGTAGAGATATATCACGAGACGTAATTAGACGTAATTTATATTTCAAAAACATACGAGGAGATGAGAATTGTAGACGTGGAAGCTCACTTTGCATAAATTCGTGTTTTTATCTGACTGACAAAAGTATTATTTGTGAGGAAAGTATAGAGTACATTTACGACGTTGTGATTACTTCATGCAAAGTGACTTCCTCTTTCCCGCGAGAGATATCTCGATAAATCTTGATTGGACTTTAATACGTATTTTAATATCTTTCTCTATTGCATTTTAAGCAGTGTGTTTTGGCTACACGTATTTTGCCGGTGAGATATACAATCGGATATGCAGATGCACGTGACACAGACATAAGCACACGAATCGGAGAACACGTGCATTGGAAAATACGAGGAACTGATACAACGGGATGCACTTGCACAAATATGCACTTTTAGCGAGGTAAAAAATTCTGTTCATTGACAATTCAGTCGATCAAATTTCAGAGCATCATTTTGTCACACAGAGTTCTATAAAAAATAATTACTAATAACTTATACACGCGATATTCATTGTGAATGTCGCATGTGTAAATTGCACAATTGGCTTCTCTTAAAAATTTCGACGATTTATGTTGCAGCTTCCGGCTTGAATCACTGCTCCCTCGATTGTGCCGATTGAACGTGCGATTTCGGTTTATGTGTGCTCTTTGTATAGGATCGCCCTTTTAATTAACTCAGCAAATATTTGGTAACAGCGACAATTACGTTAATGTTACATTTTATGTTTTCCCGCTCAACAACGTAACTGTTACAAACAACATGTGTTATATTGTACTTACATTGTTGAGTGGAAAGTTGTAACATTAATATAATAGTTACTGTATATAATGTTTACTGGGTACGATATTCCGACTACTCCCTTAGGGTGTTCCCCGCGTCTACTGACCGTACAGGTACTTCACTATGAAAAAGACGCGTTTATCCCAGCTGAACGCCATCGTGATCTTCTTGGTACGCAGGACACCCTCTTCTCGTCTTCTCCCGTGGGCCAAGCGCTGAACTCTCGCACGTGTTCCTCCACTCCGCACGAGATGAGCTCTTCTGTCGTCTCCTGAAGCGACGCGACGGGACCACGAGGTGAGCTCGTCCGACGCGGAGAAAGTGCCTCGAGAGGATGATGGTCTCGCACTGAACTCAGCCCGAATCTCGTCGCCGGGTCTAAACTTAGGCTACCCCCTCTGGGCGAAGGACACGCAGAGGTGCGGGAAGAGGCTCAGGTGGTGGTGGCGACAATGACGATGACAGAGGTGTCATCCACGTCCACCGAACTTGCCCCACGAAACTTCAGATCGGCTCGTTTCAGCTGCACCGTCTACGCTCTGTCTCTCGTATCCTCTTCCTCCTCCGCCTACTTTTCGTCCTCTTGCCTCTCGGATGCACACCTGTTACGTTTCAAATGCGAAGAGCGCGGGGATCGACAGTCGCCATATCTCTGGGCCGTTAATTAGAGAGACGTACGAAGGAGGGAGCGCACACGTCAGCCGAAATCGCGATAGGTACGCAATCGAGTAAAACACAGACAGCGCGAATTACTAAAAGATATCTCAAAGACGTCTAAAGGAAACAGAAGTCTTCAGAGTAGTCTTTTAGTAGATTGTGCTATCTGGGGAGCAATTTCTCGCATAAAAAGGTCGAAATTAAACACAGATAGAAGCTTCACATGAATTCACTTTTCTCTCTAGACTGAAAAGTATGTTAACCCAGAAAATGTAAGAACCAATTGAGTAAGAAACGAACATTCGGCGGATGTATCTTGGGAGAATCTTCGACGCCTCGCAGGTGGCAGTTTTTCTACAACCGCAGGATGTGCGTGAGATCCCGTCTCGTTGATCGTCGTACGCGCTCAAAGGAAGGAAACGGCGGTACATCTTGAAAGCGTCATTAAGACCTGCGCGGGATCCTGCTGATTGTGCGAGGTCCGTATTTATATCTCATCCTGCATCCGGCGGCGTTCAACGTTCCCGCGCGATTTCGCGCGGTTTTATCTATGTCGTATACCGATGATTACACACACATACACAAATACAGGCTCGAACTCATTAACGGTGCATTAGCAGCAGGGTTGGGAACGTTACTTTTTAAAAGTAACGCGTTACCATTACCGTTACTTGCGATAAAAAGTAACTCGTTACCGTTACTCGTTACTGATTCTAAAAAGTAACGCGTTACCGTTATTTGAAAAGTAACGATAAAAAAATCGTTACTTTCCGTTACTTTTGTAAAAAAAAAAAGTTAAAATCGGCTTATAAAACGAATAGTAAAAGAGACAATACATAAATTATACATATATAAAGACAAAATATAAGATATTTAAGCGGGAAACACACATTCTTGCATAACGACATAAAGCCCATTCCACATTAGTTGCAAATCGCAAGGTCGCAAAGAAATTGACTAATCATAGTCGATTGTTCTTCTTGTGATCGAAAAATAATCAATTATAATTTGTCAATTTCTTTGCGATTCTTTACTAATGTAGAATGGGCTTTAGGAGCGCCGCACACGAATTGACATAACAGTAACGTAAGACGTACCGTAAAAATGGACCAATTACAATCGAGTATTTACAAAAATGGCGACCTTACGGTTTGACGATATTCAAAGTGATTGGTCAATTCTTACGGTACGTTTTACGTTACTGTTATGTCAATTCGTGTGCGGCGCCCCTTAAGCGTGGTCTACAATGAGAACTTAAGCCATAAAATTTAAGCTTTAAATCCTAAGCCGTAAGAAGTTGACCAATCACAGTCAATTATAAGAAAAATAATTTCTTACGGCTTAGAGATTAAAGCTTAAATTTTATGGCTTAAGTTCTCATTGTAGATCACGCTTTAGAGGCTTTCTACAATAAGCAATAAATTTTAAGTCGCAATAAAATTGACCAATTACAGTGGATTATTCTTCTAATAGTCGACTATGATTGGTCAATTTTATTATGACTTAAGATTTATTGTTTATTGTAGAATGGGCTTTACGGAAAGCAGCACATTAATTGTTTATCATGTGCAAATTTTCGTCGCGTGGCAAGCGTTGCCGCATTCTGTGTACAGAAGCCATTATAGTAAAAAAGTAACGATACAAATAACGATGAATTTCGTTACTCGTTACTAAAGAAAATGTAACGCCGTTACTTTTTCGTTACTGATACAAAAAAGTGACGGTGTTACCAAATCGTTACCAAAAAAAAGTAACGAAATAGTAACGTCGTTACAAGTAACGCGTTACTTCCCAATCCTGATTAGCAGTGTCCGGTGCGGGGCTGCATTAGCAGAGAGACTCGCTAACGGCGGGTCCAAGCTGTTCGGATCTTTGATTCGAGAGGAATGCATCTGGTGGGCGTGCGGAAGCCGTGCGGAAATCCGCTGCTTAACAGTGACCTTTCTGGAAGTATTCCAATGACATAACGTGGGAAAACAAACATCCATCCATCAACGTTTGCCCGGCGTGCGCGCGGCTGCGGATCGCGCGCATCTAGCACCCAGCGAAATATTTAGAATAGCTCTATTTCCGCCTTTCTAATTCTCGTTTACGGTCGCAAACCTAAATTCTAATTGAGCCGGTGTGCGCTCGAGAAAGAGAGAGAGAGAGAGAGAGAGAGAGAGAGAGAGAGATTCGCGCGCGAATCGGAGCAGGCAGGTCCGAATTTAACCGAAGCTGTGCGCATCGTCAGACCCTCGACCGAGAACTTTCTTTGTACGGTGTCTCGTTCGTAGCCGCCGGTGACACGTGTGCGCGCCGAGGTACTTTTGCTCTTTCGATACCCGGCAATTATTTCCACGAGGATAGCCTCGCGAGCAAGAAAGACGACGCGCGCCCGCGCTCACACGAGCGGCACCGTCGGTCGTTCTTCTCTTTGGCGTTGTTCTCTTTGGCGAATTATTCTAATTTCAACGGAGGTCACGTTCGCGAAGCAACAACGACTCGCCGCTCACAGCGGCCACCTCGATTTATCTTCCCGCTACGCGCGTAAATGTATTTTCGTACAGGGTCTACCCTCAGTGAACACGGACGTGGACCGTCGTCAGAGCGGGACACGCGTGATCACGCTCGCTTCTGCTCTCTCTCTCTCTCTCTCTCTCTCTCTCTCTCTCTCTCTCTCTCTTTCTTGCGAGCGCTCCTTTTGTTGCCGCGGATATGAATTCGCTGAAGAGTTCATTTGCAAACTGTCCTCGCGGGATCGAAGACAAAACGTTGTCTCTCGGCGGACCGTGGAAATGTAGATTCTCCGGCGGACACGCAGACGCTCGTTTTTCACAGTCATCGAGAAAACGTCGTAGATCTGAAAGATGCAACGTATCGGCGCGTAGATATTGTGTCACGGGACTTTCTATGAGAGCCAATATAGCGGGCGAGTAGCGTAAGCGATTACGGAGCCTTCTATGGCTAACGCAATTGCTTCCGCTTTCGGAGCTTGTTCTCGACTAATTTTCGACACTGAATTGCAGATGCGATCTACCGATGGAGCCCGATGAGAAACTTTCGTCTAAGTGAAACCGTCCTTGCGTTTGACAGAGCGTCCGTCCGTCCGTCCGTCCGTTTACACGATCAGCCGCTGACTTCCGAAGAAGGAGAAACTCACGCTCGCGATAACGTATCGAGGTGCGCCATCGGACACGCGTGCTGCGTTGCTTCAAAGTAGCGTTGCGCGGCAATACATCGGGATTAACTCGTACGGAAAATTGGAGCGAGCCGCCGAAACCAGACATCGGAACCGTGATGGATCTTCCGCGACGTGAGCTTACGGTTATTTGGCGGCGGGCCCGATCCGCTCGCAATTACGGTAGGATCGCGCGCGCGAGGTTTCTGCCCAACTGGGTGAGCGCGCGAATGATGAATGCGCGTTTCATTTCTCGCGGAATTGTAATTAATTAGCGCGGGCGCGTCGTCACTTTTCGTCGTGATTTGATTTAATTCCCCGCGCAGCTTATATATTTATACCTTCGCCCGATCGATCGGGTTGAAGAGAACCGAATTAAAACCGGAAGCGCGCTGGAAAGAGCGTGAGCGGTAAAACTTGAGCAGCAAACAAACTGACCGATCACGATCGACGTAATTCTTATAATTAGAAAATAAACGACTGTGATCGATCAATCTTCTTACTGCTGAAGTCTTACCACTTACCTTTTCTGTGTGTTGTTCGCTCGACAGTCTAAGTGATATTCTATAATCGAAAGCTTATTCTCTCTGTAACTCGATCGAGATCGGTTTTATCATGTCGGCGCAATTCGAATCGTGACGAGCGTCTCGCTTGTGAATCACTCGACAGGAAAGAACCGAAAAATCGTAATCTTGGTCGCTGTCCATCAGTCAAATCAGCGAACTATTGTTGTTTACACGTCGTAGCTCGACGTCGCCCTCACGCTGGGGCCGAGTGTCCAAAAATAATGTTCAATGATTCCGCTCTGCACGTCCCGGATTAAGTGATCGAATGCCTTTGATGTGCTCTCCTCGGCCTTCCCGCGAATGCCAGGTGTCAGGTCTGAAATTTAGGAAACACCGGAAATATTATGGTCGAAAACAGAGAAAAAAGATCTATCGACGTCGATAACGCGCCATTAAGCGGATGACACAAAGAAAAGCGTGAGCAGAAAATTGATCAATCGATTGTTCTTGTAAGAAGAATCGTCGACTGTGATTGATCCATGTATGTGTGTGCTTACTGTTTACACAGAAACAAATTAATATCCACTTAAAGCTAATATACTCAAATCAACAATCATTATTTCATATATAAGTAACGATATGCACTTTTATTAGAAAAATTTTCAAGTCTTGAATTTCAACAATGTTATCATTTTATTTGAATATTATATAGTCTTATAAGAGAATAGTCTTATAACAATATGATTATTTTGATGATAATTTCATCTTTTTCCAACATTTGACAACAGCATATGCTCAATCCAATATTTTTGTGTTTTCTATTAATGAAAATCACTTTTAAATAATAAGAATACATTTTTCCTCAGTGAATCAGATATAAAATGAATGGATGCAAGTAACTTGTCTCCGTTTAGCGCAATCTCATTTCAAGATTTTCATGTCAAAAAGAAACATATTTTCGAAACAAGAATGTTCTTTCTTTCCTGCGTAAGTTTTACCGCTTGCGTTTTTCTGTGCGCCTCCGGCCTTATACCGATTCCCGATCTGATATCTGTCATCTAACTTGCACTGTTAATTATCTCCCGCAGCCTTCGTCGCAAAGAATCCGTTAAACTCGATACTCGAGTTTCACAGTTGCTACTTGAGACGCATTTCGGTATTGAAAGCCTCCCAAATGCTCGCGATCCGGCGGCCCAAAAGTTTGCCCGATAAATTATAAATACACGACAATTAGCTCCCGCTGGCTACGACGCGTTCCAATTACTCAATTTCGTTAGAGATCTCCGCGCGCGCTAGTTTTTTTTTCTTACCCTGCCGACACTCTTGGTCGCATAATACGTATTATCGATCTGATACTTATTGTTTTATTCAGGTTGCTCGCGAGATCAATTGAGATAGAGGATCAGTCGACGTCGCGGGTAATGACGGCTCTCCTTGAGGGGGCCGAGCGATTGGCCGAGCGATTGAACGGGTATCGGATCGCACGGGCGCGGTAACGTCTTCCCGATCGGAGACGAGTGAAAATAGCCGGTCCGGAGGAGATCGGTGCGGCCACTGGCTCGTCATATAAGGCATGTTTTCGCCGGTATGCCGTCAGTTCGAAAGTACAAGCTGTCGCGCGTGGAGGAGAGCCGCGTAGATGCGCGCGCCCGCGCGAGGTATATCGAAAGCATGAAATCGCGACTGCGTCTCGCGCTGATCGCGCTACTCGCCGTTTCCGGTGAGTTCGCGGCTCGAAAAAGTGCTCGTCTCTTGCCCGTACACACTTCTCTCTTCCTTCTGCTCTGAATCGCGCCAATTTGTCTCTGTTTACTTTAGCGTAAACCGAATCTCGAGAAGCGCAGAACTTGGCTACGTGTCGATTCGGTGCCGCCAAACGGCGATGTTATAGACCCTAGTGACATTGCGCTGAATTGTATATATTTTTTAAGTCGTAATCTAGTGTATTAAGATGCCGCTGTTAAGTTAATTAGAGTCGTTATATGTTGGATGTTGCTAATGGTATGCCAATTGGATCGGTAGCTTTATCAAATTTCACGTCGACAGTGTCTTCTTTGTGGAAGATGACAATTTTTGTTAGGGATTGGCTGTGACACTTAGAACCGACTTTTCGATAGTAACTTAAACTTGGGTTTAAGTTTGAACTCTGTTCAAACACGCGCAACGGAATTCTTAGAACAGAACCTAAGCTTAAAAATCTGAGTTCAAACAATTATTGAAAAATCGATTCTTACTGTTGTAAGATGTTGATAGACTTAAAAGTTAGGTTCTTTTGTTGCCTCACCAACAGACGCTGAAGACGATATGATTTCTGTGAGTTGAGTTTTCGATGCTGTAAGAAAGAAAATTACATATTGACGTTTCATTGACATTACGTAGATTAAAAAATTGTGTCTTTTGTTAATTAAAAGAGGAATAGATATATTACGGTATCGTTACTCGACCCCGACGAAATTATATCTATCTGAGTGACGACTGTGTGTCTGGCTTTTGCGAGAAGAAAAGCGAGTCTCACGAATAAAAGCGAGATGGAAAGAAAGTGAAAATTGCGAATTTGGGAATTTATTTTGGAGCGATGATGCGCGCCGGAAGTTTCACTTCCGTTTTTGCGTGCGGGTGAAAACGATGGCGCTAATCGCGTGAGGTTTCTCTTTCCAACGGGTATACGCCGGCACGCTACAGATATCCGTTTCCGAACGACCGGACGAATCGTGAAAGTATCGTCATGCGCCTGAAAATAATCTCGTAGCCGTGAGATATTGAAATCGTTTCGATCTCTGAGTACGTTCACTTAATGAAACTCGCCTCTCTTCGCTCATTCCTGTAATATAAATTTTGCTCTTACAAAGCATAAATAATGCGTTTTCTTTACATCAAAAGGTTTTTTCTCTAATAATTTGGAAATTTTTTTTTTTTTTTTAATAAAAGTAAAGGAACGTATTTCTGAATTCTGTATAAGAGAAATATGCTATGTACTTTGCCATCTAAATACTTGAAAGCGATGAAAATTTGACTTGGATGACACGTTTGCAGTGAATAGCGCGGCGGAGAAAGGAAAATCCGGGGAGGTTCCTTGCATAGACGACAACAAATTCTATCGAAATCCCAAGGCATCGGCGCACAGCGTCTGGTCACCTGCGGAGTGCGCCAAATATTTTCTCTGCCTAGGTAACTGCAAAGATCGTGAAAAGATTCATTTAGAAATACCATCTTATCGTTACGCACGCAAACGTATTTACGTATTCACGCGTGAATATTCGTACAATCGTCGCGTTCAAAAGAGAGATACATTGTAAATTATAATCATTCCCTGTGAAATTATACTCGCTAAAATTATCTTACACGGTTCGACGTTGAATGAATTCCAAAAGGTTCACGTCTCATCGTTACGTTTCAGACAATGAGGTGTTCGAATTCAAGTGCTCGCAGGGACTCCTCTTCGACGTCTCCAGGCAGATCTGCGACTTTAAGGCGAACGTAGACAACTGCGACGTAACTTCAGGTACACAGTTTTACGCTGAATTTACTTGAGCGTGAACGGCGCGAGCCGTGACGGCAAGAGCCGTGAATGTAAACGAGCGTAAACGCCGCAGTTTAACTTGTGATGTCGATTTCTACTTGTAAGAAGGCGATCGAGTGTTACACACGCAATCCGTTACTTTCTCCCGGAAAATCCATACGGCAGTGACGAGTTAATGTAATTCCTGCATTTGGCTATTGAATCTTCAATTAGAAGCGTGTCAATATTTCTCAAGAGTGCATCCATCCTGATTAATCTAAACAGACCATTTTTATCTGTTCACGTATTCGCGTGAATGACGGTTCTATAGTCGCATATCACCTTTCGATCCGTGGAGCAGACATAAGATTTTTCTTCGTTGAATCATATAAAATATATTGATGCAAGTAACTTGCCAGATAGCACAGAGAATTAAAAAAGAATTCAAAAAGAATTCAGTCGTATGTCACCAATTCTGAGTTCATTTTCAGATGTAAAAGGAATTCTTTAGAGTTCAGTTCAGTGAAAAGAATTCTTTTTGTATTTAAAAATGAACTCAAAATTGGTGACATACGACTGAATTCTTTTAGAATTCTCTGTACTATCTGGATTATTAATGCTATGTAACCTCATCTTAATAGTTACATGTAAAAAATTAAGATATTTTCGAGACATGAATGCTCCTTTTCTGTATACTTTGAATAAAATACAAAGTATCAGCAAAGTGACGGGAAAGGTGGAATTCGTTGAAGTATTTCGCCGAATTTACGCGTAACATTTCTCGAATATTAATTGTAGCCAATGGCTTGCATGTACGATCAATCGTGCACGTTTGCGCTTTACGACGTTTACCTTGTCGATTCATTGTAATCAAAATCAACAAATTCACGGCGAGAATTTCGTCGAATCATGTTTTACGAGCTTTCTACGTGGCGAAACTTGTTGAACTTTACGGCATCGCGACTTGACCAAATAAATAACGGAATCTTATGCGGCCGTCGTAAATGAGAGCGGAATCTTACGCGGCCGTCGTAAATGAGAGCGGGATATACGCGCGGTAAAGTGGGATATTCTCGAGCGGGATATACGCGCTTTCTCGATTCCGTAGGAAGTATCATCACTGTATACCGAATGGTGATTTGAAATCTTAAAAGCTTCTCGTAGATGTGCAACCGGCGAAACCGCTGCTGGAGAACGGCGAGTGCGAGGAGAAGAATCTGGCTTGCGGCGATGGCACGTGCCTTCCGGCTCTCTACTTCTGCGACGGGAGCGTCGATTGTCCTGACGGCTCTGACGAAGGATGGTGTGGTAAGAAACATGAATAATTCATAGATACGCTACAGCTATGCAGCTATGGGCTATTAAAAAGTGCTCTTCACCGAGTTCTTAAGACGATTCGTGTGAACAAACAGAGAGAAACAGAAATGTTGCCACAGATGTTACTTCCTCTCAAGTACCGCAGACAAGAGCAGTTCTTGCCAATTCGAGCATTCCATTGTCGTACTTTCCTTTTCGTTATAAAATTATTTCGAAAAGGCCCTTAGAGAAATATCATACTAAGAATCATTGATAATTACTTATTATCCAGTATTTTTAATACTGAAAATAAGTAATTATCAATGATTCTTAGTATGATATTTCTATAAGGGTGCCAGGTCTACGAGTACTCTTTTCGCCCAGAACTTTTTTTCCATTCCACTTTCACCGTTGACATTATTCCGCTGACGTCTTCGTGACTGGGAAAAGTCGCAGTCGTCGTTACGCGTGATAATCACAACGACGGCATAACGATGGCGTGAAAAGTGATATCAATCTGTTGCAGATGCGCTACATGATACGAACGCCGCGCCGGTTTGCGACCCGCAGAGATGTCGACCACCGAATTGTTGGTGTTCCGAAGACGGAACCCGAATCCCGGATAATCTCACCGCTTTCGCAGTGCCGCAGATGATAACGATCACATTCGACGACGCCGTGAATGCTGAAAATTTCGAGCTCTACTCAAGTAAGTTGACAAAACTTGATTTCACTTCTGACCTAACGTTAAGAGTGAAATTGCACATTTTCCGTTTTCATTTTCTTTCTTAATTTCTGAATAAATTTGTGTACATATGTAGACTCAAATAAATTGTTAGATTAAGTTAGATTCGTGCACTAATGCTAATAATCGTATAATTTATAATTTGTGAATGTCATTGCAGAGATCTTCACAGACGATAGGAAGAATCCCAACGGCTGTCCTATAAGAGGTACCTTCTACATAAGTCATCAATATACGAATTACAGGGATGTGCAATATCTGTGGAACGTCGGTCACGAGATAGCCGCGCATTCCGTTACGTAAGTATCCCGCAAGAGTTATAATCTTGAAAGACATCAACAGAGCAAATCGTTCTCCTCGTTGGATTCGACATCGTAAAACAAGAATTATCATTCAGGCATCGTGGACCGGAAGAATGGTGGTCGAAAAACGCGACGATCGAAGACTGGTTCGACGAGATGGTTGGGGTGGCGAACATCATCAAGAAATACGCGGCAGTTCGTATCGACGATATCAAAGGTGCAGAAATATTTTTAATTCTACATTTCTCATTCGTGAGAGCAGATCGCATTGAAGCAGAAAGGATTTAAGATATATAGTAACTGAAAAAAATATACAAGCATCATTAAATTTATGAGATAAATTTTAATTGCCACTTGATTAAATGAGTTCATCTTTTTAATCCGATTTGGCTCAAGAAATTCTCAAGCGTTTATTATAGAAACCTAACGTGATATTGTGCGTCGTAGGGGTGAGAGCGCCATTTCTACAGGTCGGATGGAACCGCCAATACCTGATGATGTCAGAATTTGGCTTCGTTTACGATTCCTCGATCGTCGCACCGTTCTCCGATCCACCGCTATGGCCGTACACGTTCGACTACAGGCCGCCGCATCCGTGTGTTCGCGTGGGGCAACTTTGCCCGACCCGTTCCTACCCGGGTATCTGGGAGTTACCGCTAAATCAACTCTTGGCAGGTGTAAGCGATTACCACGCGACAGATGGGACGTGTTCTCGATTAGTCGCCGAGTCTTACATTCGCGGATGACTCTGTATTTAACAAAAAGCGAACCCGCTTTAATTCGCGAATTAAATTTATGTTATACAGATGAATAAATGTAGTGTATTAATTTCACGAATTTTTTACGTAGGACTACACTTGCACTACCGTGGACTCGTGCCCTTCCGATTTATCCGGCGAGGAGGTCTATAAGATGCTCATGTTGAATTTCAAGAGGCATTATCTCACCAATCGCGCGCCTCTGGGCTTACATTTTCACGCATCGTGGTTCCAAAATGCAATGTACTTCTATGCATTTAATGTAAGTAGAACTGAAAGTATTCATATAATTATTTTGTTATTTCTTGTACTTTTAAGACATTTCTATATGAGAATAACTATTACTGTTAACGAGAAATTACATATTTAACTAATTTTTCTACTAGTTTGGAAAATTATGACATTTCTACTTGGATCATAATTAGTAATATTATTGTGTATGTCGTTAGAAATTCGTCGACGACCTGCTACGGCTGGATGATGTGTTTTTCGTCACGAGTCAACAGGTTGTGGAGTGGATGCGTAAACCAACGTCTCTCAGCGAAATCGAGAAGTTCGCACCTTGGCAATGTATGAAACGGCATTTCGAGCCGTTTGAGGTCGCCTGCGACTTACCAAACAGTTGTAAACTACCAAGTAGAGTGCTCAAGTCATACAGATATTTGCACACGTGTTTTGAATGCCCAAAACAATATCCATGGTTAAGAAATGAATTTGGAATGGAGTGAAGGTGGCGAATATACATAGGAATTTCTCTGTAAGTTCACACACACATTCACACACACATCACACATATTATTAAGACAATAAGTATTTATTGTAAACACAAATGACACATGTATTTTCATATGAAAATTGCATTTATTTCCAATGCATAACCCATTTTTCCTCCATTTATAATGCGAAAATAAATTATATTCATCCTTAGAAAAACGACAGATGATTAACTAATCAGTGTTTAAAAAAAAGGTTTAGGATATAATTACTGAGGTATATAGCTTTTGTGCTTATCCTTCCTGTTGTATAAATGGATTCTGAATAGACTCCATGCCATCTACAGGACAAATAAGTACAACAGATGTCCCTCTACATACCACCAGACCCAACATACGAGTATCCTGGATCAATTTATATGGATCATCAGGATCTATGCGAAAGAAGATATATTAGTCGTCTAAAGATCATAGCTGATGGCGTACATGGAGAAGAATTCTTGATACATAGATAGCAATACATATTTCTTAATAGACCTATTTTATAGATATTTTACAAGTATCATGGTTACCTCTGAGGTACTCTGTTGTATTATCAAGTACTAAGTTTAGCAATGGATCATAACCCTTGAGTATGCCTGCAGCTTCTCTGCCACCGGCAAACTTAACTCTTATATTCTTCTCAAGATACTTAGAAAGATCAAGAATACTCTCTTTCCTCTTTTTCTCCTTGTGTTCAGCGTTCTGTTGCTACAATTCAAATCATCACCTTAGTTCTGTGATGAGTTTGGTGTTATGTTATGATATATTACCTGTTTTGGTGCCTGTAAAAAGAATAGAGTGAAGTTAGAATCATGAGTAAATCTGAAGTCAGTTATGAGCTTGAGAAATAACGTAGTTTCGCACTTACAGACATCTCGATGTAATCACAGAAGGAAAATGTTCAATTACGAAAGCAGAAAGTTGCCTTTTCTACTCAAAGAAAGTGCAACGCATTTTGAACATTCAGGTTATGTTACTCATTCGAATGTTCGATAAATCGATACTTGTATCGACTTTCTTCGCGGTTGGAATCGATTATATCAAATCAAAGTTTCGAGTATACATTCTCGATACTTTCGGCGGAAATACAAATCGCAACCATTTGTTACAAGAGAACAGATATTTAACATTTTTTAGACAGGTAAATTATACATATACAAAATACATAAATTATATATTTGCTTATATATATTGAATTCATTTAGAATTATTCTTATATATATTGAATTCATTTAGAATTATTCTAGGAGAAGTATTAAAAACACATTAATCTAATTTAACATACGCGTACTACCAAAGAACTAACATCAAAAAATTAAATTGCAATTTAGGAAAGATAACATGGAAATAAGATTTTGTTGCATTCTTTTTAAATATAAGATATGTATGATCGGGTAGTTAAGAGAAAAAACACATATCGTAAAAGCTTGAATTTATTCGTATCTGACTTTATAAAAAAATACATGTCAGTACATGATGTGTACGTGAACAATGTAGTACGATTAAAGTGTGTGTTGTGTATGTATGTGTATGTATGTATGTAAATATATATGTGTATGTGTTATCCCAGACAGCACAATGTCCAAAACTGGGATATAAGACGTCTTTAAAACATCTTTAAGACAACTTAAAGACGTCTTATGTCCAGACGCCCGGGAAAAAAAAGTTCAGATATGGATTTTGTCAAGATCTGATCAGATATAATCAGATATAACGTTATAAATGATTCAGATCTGTCCATATATAATCATAGATAATCATATATAATTGTATAAATGATTATATATGATTATGTATTATTATATGTGGACAGATCTGAATCATATATAACTTTATATCTGATTATATCTGATCAGACCTTGACAAAATCCATATCTGGCTTTTATCTGAACTTTTTTTCCCGGGGCGTCTTACCCCTTGTCCACAACCTTGCTTTAATCTTTAAACCATAATAAATTGACCAACCACAGTCGATTATTTTAAAAATAATCAACTGTAGTTGGTCAATTTCTTACGACTTAAGAATTAAAGCAAAGTTGTGGACAAGGGGCTAAAGTCGACAACTTAAAGACGTTTTATGTCCCAGTTTTAGACATGTGTGCTGTCTGGGATGTGACTGCCTTTACATCTTAGAGTTAAAATTTGTAATTACATCGTCGAATGATCTTCAACAACTTCTACACGATTATGAATGCCTTACTCGTGAACGCAATGTGAATTTCGATGTAAAAGTATAGTTTATACACAGTACTTCTCCGAAGTCCTACGTCGTATAGAATCATACAATACTTTAGTGAAAATCATCGACTTACTAAAGTCTTTATTCTATGTGTGTGCATGAATTCTCTTTTGTCGATAAGATTATCTCTAAATGTGTTTACAATTAGAAGGTTTATAGGTCACAGTTAAAGGCATTTTTATTGACAAAAGAGAATTTAGAATAAGGGCGTTGGAATATTTAGAATCACAAGTAAATAAATAAGTGTGCGAATTCAAAAGCGAATACTACATTAAATTCTACCTTTTGGAAATGAAGTGTCTCAAAAAATGTTCTAATTTAAATATTTTAAGAATATCTGATTTTTTTATATCTTGCACAGACAAAATTATATCAAGTGAGCTGTAAAACAAAGATGAGTTAAATGAAGAGTACATAGAATTCGATGAAGGACACATAAACTATACTTCAACTGACGTGTCTCTCTTACTGCTGCTAAATTCGCACTTTGAATTCATTATCCCGGGATCCTCGTTTGCGTTCTCAGGATCAACGCTCCCTGGTCTCTCGCCACAACCATCTTGCTTTATGACTCTATGCTCAGAAGCAAGGAAATACATATTAAAAGAATCCTTGCAAAATACGTAAATAAAATGATACGTTCACAAAATGATACTTGCAATCGATTGAGCAGACCCGCAAGATAGCCTTCACTCAACACTTCTCTTTTATTCTAATGATCAATAAATACCTCTAAAATTAACGTAACATAATTATAAGAGAAGATAGGATCAGAGAGGAAGATTGCATGTCACATTAATTTTGCGGCCATTTATTAATTGTTCGAACAAAAGAGAAAGTGTACGAATTATTTTACAAGTCCGCTTGTTGATCGACTGCAAATGTTATTTTATGGACACATCTTTTCAACATTTCAAGAATTTTAGCGTGTATTTTCTCGCTTCTAACGTCATTCATTAGGAATTCCATGGCGAGAAGATAGGAGCCTTAAACGTAATTATAAACGTGAGCCGTTCTATGCGCTACAAACTCTTGTGCTGATCTATTTGTCTTTGTATAGTCTACGACGGGAGCTCACTACTTCTTGACGGAATCTGCATTGTACGTTGGCTCGCGTGTTCATTTATATGTGTGTATGTGTTGCATCGTTGCACACATTTACGTTTCTGCACGTTACGTCACGCCTTATTTGTGTCCGTGTGTGTATTGTCCTAACTCCTTCCCTCTGGTGACCGGTTCACTTGAATGGACGACGCATCGTTTGTATATTGATAAAACTTATAGGTACGCGATATATATATATATATATATATATATATATATATATATATATATATATAATAAAAAGTTCGTCCCGCTTAACTGTTAACGCAGACGGCTGCCGAAACTTTCGTAATCTATCCCCGCCCTTATCGCGATAAATTTCGATGTATCGAATGCGCTGCGCGCGCGTTAATCTGTGGTTGACCTTACGAATCAGGATTAAAAATATTATCAACGAAGCGTGTAGCTTCGTAAACAAGAAGAAGGTTCATAAATCCGAGGGCGTGAAACGTTTGCTTCAAAACGTCGCGTTTTACCACCGTCGCGTGCTCTATTCGTTATTTCGCATAAAGAGACGCGACACTGCCCGTAGAATCGTCATCGTCATCGTCGTCATCGTGAATCCAAGAGATCTATTGAGAGGAAGTGAAGCTTACTTTAGCTGTAAGGCGGCGAGGAGTTGTATAACCGTGTCAGCGACTTCGGTTTGTTACCGCAAAATCGGAAGGGACCATGAGATTTTACATTGTTATCTTTACGATATTATCTTCTACGTCCCTTAGGAAAGCGAACGCAAGTGTCCTACTGATAGCGATTCTCCATTGTCTCCGTATCTAGGGCCGCAAGTGACTACTCGAAGAACAGTAACGGCAGATTCGAACTCTAGGAAGGGGAGAACTCTATGTATATGCGGGAACAAGGCCTCGAGTCGCTTCATCAGAAGCACCCCCAACGCCCCTTCCGATTGCGCGGAGTTTTATTTTTTAAAAAAGTAGGCTGCGTCTTTCGGTCAGGGATCGATCGACGGCACTTCGTATTTCCGTATTGCGAAAAACTGCAACTATCGTATGTACTAGACGTAGTTTAGAAGCCTCATGCGCGCACGCGCTTACAGAGCCGTATTAAAAAATATTTGGATCGGTAGGGATGTCGATCTCCTGCGGATCGTGTTCGTGCCGATGGCATCGTGCGCGAGAACGGTTCAGAACAGAGCTGGCCGACGTCGTTCTTCTCTCAAAAGAGAAAAACGACGTGGGAGGTGTGCGCGCGAGAGCCACACTCATAGAAAAAAACGCAATGGTAACTACAAAGTAACAACGATATGGCTTTAACATGTAGAATTACAATGTATATCGTTTAATAAATTATTTTTGTTGCAACTAAAGTTTTAGTTGCAACAACTAAAAATAGCTTATTAAGCCGTATACATTAATTCTACATACAAAATTCGTACAACTATCATCCATACGGTTGTCATCACCGTGTCTATTTTTCTGAGTGTGATTAACACATTGAGAATAATGTGAGGATACTCGAAATCGCCGATGGCTGAGTCTCGAATTGAGCCGAAAGATAGAATAAGGATCGTCTCGGGATCCTGAGAATTTCTCTCGACTAATTTTAGATATTTCAACGTATGTGTGTCGCGTGAGTTAAATGTCAAGGTCCCGACCGCTCCTTCTCCAGGAATAAATGAGCTCGAGACTCTATTACCAGGCGATTTCAGAAGTTTCTTCGGGCATCCGCGCGCATTGATGAGACGAAGATCTATCAGACAACTCTGATCTAAAGTCTAAACCGTTCTCAATGTTGGACTGTGCGTCATGTCGCTGGTCGGTCCTCCTCCTGCTCGGCGAGCAACGGCACGCCTGCCTGCGGCTGATCCGCGTTATTGTTCTCGTTCTCGTCCTGCTCGGCGAGCAGCGGCACCGCCTGCTGGTTGTTGTTGTCCGTCTCTGACGGCCTTCTGCTCTGTCCCGGCAGGAACGACATCGGTATCGTTCCCGAGGGAGTCGTCGGGGCCGAGCGCGACATCCACCGCTTCGTTTTGTTGCGCGAGCTCGGCAGGCCTAATGGCATGTACAGCTTGCCTCGGGTCCTCCTTACCCTATACGAGCCGATATCACCGGGACTCAAGGGCCGTTGTTGCGTGCAACCGTCGCTACTCGTCACACACAAGATCGGAGCTTGGTTTTGTTGTTGCTGTTGGCAAGGCAAGACGGTGGAGGAGGTGGTGCTACTAGTGGTAATGGAGTGTCCGTTAGACAAGTGCGGAAGTTGCTGTATCTTATCCAACAATTCTCGTAACTGGAAAAAGAACAGAGGTGGAGATTTATGCTAGATATAATTGATTTACGCCAGATAGTTGTAATTACCTGGGAAAAAAAAGTTCAGATAAAAGCCATATATGGATTTTGTCAAGATCTGATCAGATATAATCGGATATGATTCAGATCTGAATTATATCTGATTAGATATTGACAAAATCCATATCTGACTTTTACCTGAACTTTTTTTCCTGGGTATGTGCAGACATTAATTAAATTTAATTAAGATCCTTAATTCTCTTCAGGATACAAAGAGATATCTCTTTATAGAAAGATGAATAATTGATGTTAAAACGTTAAGAGAAAATTTTTGATTTTCATTATTTTGTCGATTGCCTCATTCACGGGATCGAATAATTATAATTAAATTATAATAATTATATATAATAATTACAATTAAAATGTTAATTTTTTTAGAGATATCGCAACGTACCTCTATCGTCGGGCTGGTAGCCCTCGGTGGGGAGCAAGGCGATTGAGCAGCTAGGCTTGATATGTCAGAAGTTGTTCTGTGATTTGTCAAGGAGACGACCGAACCAGCCTCTCTGCGCTCGCACTCCGCTGCTGATAGCTCGTCGACGCTGTTGTTGCAAGAGTACGGTGGTGGAATGATGGTATTTGCCTCGTTTACCATGTTGCACATGAAGCTGGAGCTCAGCGAGTCCAACGTGCTCGCGTGAGACAGCGATCTGAAGTAGCGCATCACGAAGCCAGAAGTACCCTTGCCCGTACTCTCATCGTAACCAATCACTAGCGGATAAAGGTCTGGCTTTGCGGTGACCTGGGTATAGGATAAAAGGTGAGGATAAAGATATCTGATAGTCTTGAGTCTCTTCGACAGATCTCTCGGATCTCCTTGACCGATACCTCATTGTAGGGTGGAGGTAAGGCCTGGACGAAGGAACTGCATCGGCTGTAATGAGGAGGCGGATACCACGGACCTGTGGAAGTCCTCTCCGAAGACACACAATCTTCTGACAGCGTTGAACGTCGACGTTTCCATAGCCAGAAGCCGCACGCTGCGGCTATGGCCAAGGCTGTGAGCACTGCTGCCCTGAAAGTGAAACGTTTCGTCGTTCCACGGTCCGAATTAACGACAACGACAATGTACAACGGAAAATTTATATATCGAGTAAGCAGAATTTTATTTCTTTTGATTCTTTAACTCTCAAAACGGACTCACATTTTCCGTCAACGTAAACCGAATTCATGAGAGCACAGGTTTCACGTCTTATTAAATGATGTTAATGCGTTCAAAAAATCTTTAAAAAAATCATGTAAGTTCATTGAAGTGTTGATCAAATACCCAAATCACTAAATTGGATAAAAGTTTATTTGAAATATTTTATTTGTATGCGCAGATTTTTAAGAAATCTTAGTTGAATTCTCTCGGACTCCATGAATCCGCTTTGAAGGTTAATTTCCGAGTTCACTTATTTTCAATTGATAAAATGTTCTCTTTTGACTTTATTGCAATACAGTTATACAGCTAGAAATATACTAACCACAGGTACCAATAGGTCCAAATCAAGAAATTGAACATCTCTGAGACATGGGGATGCACCGGCGTAAAGACACTGTAACAACAGCCGTAAGAACAGCACTCTTTCGGAGGAGAGCAGCTGAAATGTAACAAATGTGCATCTTCTTAATTTACTGTCTTGCTCTCTCTTTTTATATTTAACGATTCTGTATTCTCAGTCATAATATGTACGTAAAACGAGAAACTTACACGTGTCCTCCATCGCATAGCCTAGAGGACACCTTAAAAAATAAAATCATAATTACGTATTATTATTTTTATAATAAAATGTAAATTCAGTATAACTTAATGATCCAAAAGAGTATAACGATCGAATGGGATGTTGCTCAATTAAACGGATTACTCTTATTCGATATAAACGTTTAATATAAATCAACATTCTAGTCCAAGGAAATAGAATGCTTTTCAGAATTACAGAAACACGACACATCGAAACAGTGAAATTAAAAAATTATTAAAAGAAAGAAGATAAAGAAAATATTATCTTTGAATTCTTTCAAGCAAGAGCTCTTCTTTTTTTTAGTTTCCAGGAGTTACGAGAATCTCCCTCGGACACGATACAACGATGTTCAAACAGACGCGACTTTCGCGATAGCCCGTGTTCACCGCGAATCGACGGGAATCTGGACAAAACGTTGGATGATCCATCAAATTATCACGTTACGATACGATGAATGTCAGGTGAATTATGATTATTTATCTATTCTAAGGTTGTCGAAATAGCGCTAGAGTAATGAAAATTTTACCGTTCTTGTATCCGAAAAATCGCGTCCTATTTCGGGGACATTATCTTTCTGGAGAACTTGGACGCGCTCGGCATCAGACGTCGTAGAGTTCGCAAGAGGATCACTTATTATCAGAACCATTTTCTCAATGAAATCCCTATTCCAGAAGCAGAACGCTGACCATCGGCGGAGGAGTTAAGAGGAGCACGGGGAAAGACTTACGCATGAACGGCAAGCACGGCGGCGGCGGCGGGCGCGTATTGATCGAGAGCGCGAGGAGCCGAGCGGACTTAAGGGCACATACGGACGAGGGTCGTGAAATGTTCCGCGTCTCTCCCTCTCGCGAGACGCGTCTCTCTCCGTAGAGGAGACTGGGGAGGCGACACACGCAGGAGGATAAAGGGTGTCTCCGTGGTGCGGCTACACCCGGCCAGCTACGAGGGTGCATCCCCTCGTCGCCGTTCTTACTTGATCGACCAGCAGCAGCAGCGTCAGCGTCAGCGTGGCCGCCACCACGAGTGGCGCATCGTACGCGCGGCTTCCCGCAGCTTGCATCACCATAATTCTCACCACCACCACTGACCGACGACGACGACGACGGCGACGACGACGAGTGTGCACGCCGTCGCGTCACCCCCTGCACCGCTCTGTGCCACCCTCTCCGTGCATACACGCGTACGACGCACCAACGACGACACTCGTCGAAGACGAGTCTCACCCTCGCTGCGCGCTCTTTCACCCTTCTAGTCCCGTGCGCCTCGCGCGCAGGAGCAGCCCCTGCGCTCTATGCACCCGTGAGACCATGCGCGTCGCGTGGCGAAGGAGTTGCTTCAATACAGGCGCGCGCTTTCTCGCCGCGTTATATGACACGTGGGAGGCATACGTCAACGGCTCAACTATTTTAGTGACTCGGTATTTTAGATTATCGAGTCAGGTGATAGAAATAGCTTGAATTGAAAAAGTTGTCAAGGACTCCTCATGTGCTGGAATCTGTTGGAGTAATCAATTTTGATATTATATGCATATGTAGAAATTTGTCGTATACGGTATATTAGGTTGTCCGTATCTGAAAAAACTTCGGAATTAGTACACATTAGTACAATAAGTTAAAATGAAAAAAAGCATAAGTGTTTAGCTTTAATTTATTGTACTAGTGAAGTACTTCCTCAAAAACGAATAGACCGATTAACCAATTAGATCTCTGAGAGTTTCGATAATATGGTTACAATATTACTCATTGAACATTTTCTATTTATATGATCGGCGACATGTGTCCTAAATCATATAAATAAAAAGCACTTATAGTGAATTCGGTCACCCGCACTAAACTAGGTCAGTGCACACTGAAGGCTGCTACACATAAAATATCAAAACATAATGGTATAACCCTTATAGAAATATCATACTAAGAATCATTGATAATTACTTATTATCCAGTATTTTTAATACTGAAAATAAGTAATTATCAATGATTCTTAGTATGATATTTCTATAAGGGAACAGAAGGATTTTGACGTAGAAACAGTTAATGTATATTTTACTAATTGCCCATACCCCTTTCAATCCCTATATCCACAATTGTGTCGGTCAGGTTTTGCCACTCTATCTTTTTTTCCGCTCTCGCTAAGTGATTCAGTCCGACACCGTACGATTGTGAATGTTCTATTCTCCATTACGGAGCTTCAAGTAGTTGCAAATTTTGCCACAAGACGACAGCATTTGAAAATGACAAATTTTTGAAAAAATTTTTTTGTATGTATTTTTTAATTTTGTGTATATTCTAAGTCACGGAAATGCCCTAATGATATAAATAAATTCAAAATTTCACTCTTGGGATTGAAAGGGTTAAAGCACAGAGCGTTGAAAAAACGTTGATGAGACGTTGCAACGTTGAAGATAGAAGTGCAAATGTTTTTTCTACATAGAATATATGTTGATTTTTCTACATTGATTACAAGATATTGCTGCAATGTTGAATATATATTGAACAAAAAACAATTTTTTGCAACAATATTTGAAGAGCATTGAAAGTTATATTATTGATAATATTAAGGAAAAATTTGTTATTATATAATAATATTAATAAAATAAATTATTATTAAATTTTATTATATTAATATAAGGATATTTCACTTTAAGTAATATGGTCGATTATCTCGCGAATCGATAATTTTATTGAAAAATTTTTTCAATGAAAGTTGTATGGCTTGAAAGGGGACATATGATGAAAATGTGGACTTGACCTTGAGTGACCTTGTCAAAATTAGGTCAAGGTCATTAATATTTTTTTAAACGGAAACCATTATTTTTATTAGATATTCTTGTAGCTTATTGTGAGAGCTTTCCAAAACACTATAATAAAGTTACGTTTCACTGAATACTTTCCGAGTTATGGAGCTTAAAAGTTACAGTACCGCTGGTATTATCTACGTACGCATGCGCGTGTGAGCGGGATTCTTACTTTAAACTTATAATCTGTAACTAATAAACTACTTTTTCTTAGTAAATACTTTTTCTAGCTAAACTAAATACTTTTTCTTAGTAAAAACAAAACAAGTTATTTTTCCATTATGCTTTAGAAGAAAAAAATATACCAATGTCTAAAATTTGTAATTTAGTAAAAGTTTATCTCAGTAAGTAAATCTTTATCCCAGTTATAAAAAGTAAATTTAGTTAAGTTATAAAACGGAATTGTCCAATCGCAGTTGCTAAACTATTTTTTGTGAATGGTCGATTCCGTTGAGTTAATCGGTCGATTAGGTTAGGTTAACTACATTAGTGAAACCGTTGGTTTGTTTTTTTCAGCTGCATTGTTGACTGGTGCAATAAGTTAGAATGAGAAAAGATATACTTATCTCACTTTAACTTATTGCACCAGTTCAGCAATCAGCTGAAAAGAACAGACCACGAGCCTATTTCTAACAAAAATAGAAACATCGAAGATAAGACATCGATAAAATATCGATGTAATGTAACTTGCAATATCGATGGCTAAACATCGAAATATTAATCAGTTAACATCAATATTTTATAAACATCGATGATTTTTGCTGCGTAATGGCGTTGGGGCAAAATTCTTAGAGAAGTCTGGAGCCAAATATTGAAGTTGAAGTTGATGATTTTTGCTCATCCCTACCTGCGCGCTCCTCCGTAACGGCTTATAGGTCGCTAAGACGGCGGTAAAGTGCTGTAATTTCATCAATTTTTAAAATTGTAAAGTGCTGTAACTTCATCAATTTTTCAAACTTTTTCAAACGGCTTCGGATATACACTCTTGAAATCTTTCAAAATATGTAATAAAAAAAATTGATTTTTTTAAACCGAGAAAGATATATGTCTTCTTAATATTTACTAGGAATATGATAACAGATGTTTTTCATAAAAGTCTTTCTACTTTCGATAATTATTAAGTTTACAGACCTCACCTCCGATTTTGATGAAAATATACTCAATCGACGCGTTTTTGAAAGGCAAACAACTTTTTTATTAGGAAAAATTCTCTCTGCTGTGAAGCGAGATAATTGACAAATTTGATCACTGTTAAGGTTAGGAAAACTGTAACACCGACGACAAACAGCGACATGTATGTGCTTCGTAGTCACATATTTCAAACAATTTTTCCTAATAGAAAGTTGTTTGCCTTTCAAAAACGCGTCGATTGAGTATATTTTCATTAAAATCGGAGGTGAGATTTGTAAACTTAATAATTACCGTCTTAGAATTGGGAGAATCTATTAGAACACTTACACTGAAGTGGGCTGTCTTCTTGGTCAGTGGCGAGGGCAATACGAGCACCATCTCCTGAGTGGTGCAACCAGTGGCAACAAATCGTCTACCCATCTGCCTCCCTACCTATCTCCCTTGTGCAAGGCAAGATGAAAACGTGACTTTTGTAGAATTAGTCCAATCTAACTTGAGAATAAAGATTATATTGACATTTAAATTATTATTCCCACAGACAACATGTCAGTAGAAAAGAACGAGGACGACTTGAGAACAACGATTGCTGAATTGCGCGCAATATTGAGTGTGAAGGAAGCCGAGTTGGCTGCTTTACAACGCAAGAAGCAAGTCGTGCAGAAATATGGCTTAAATAATAACGAAATTCTCAGGTATAGCCGACAGCTCTTTTTACGTGAAATTAATGTGCAAGGTTTGTTGTCTTTATATCTTTGCTTTAAAATATAGAGAAGCAAACTTATTAGTCTTGACAATTGTTTTTATGATTTTAGGTCAAAAAAAGATAAAAGACAGTTCTGTACTTATTGTGGGAGTTGGTGGTCTCGGTTGTCCTGCAGCCTTGTACTTAGCATGCAGTGGAGTTGGTCACATTGGCATAGTAGATTATGACAATATTGAATTAAATAATCTTCATAGACAAATATTGTTTGCGGAAGCAAGCATCGGTACTGCTAAAGTGACAGCGGCAGCAGAAACAATCAATCGGTATAATAATGTTATAAATAATGTTACATATAATTGTGCATGAAATGTATAACACTTTGTGTATGTGTATACTTGAATACTCTTATTACACAAATTTACTTCATTTTACTTACTTTGCGTATAATCTCTTGTTTTCAGACTGAACAGCAATGTCAAGATCACTCCATATAAAATCCAACTGAATAGCAAGAATGCTTTAGACATCATAAAGAACTATGATATTGTATTAGATGCTACAGATAATGTAGCTACACGTTATTTACTGAACGACGCATGCGTCTTGAGTGGAAAACCATTAGTTTCTGGATCAGCACTAAGGTTCGAAGGGCATTTGACTGTATTTAATTATAATGGCCCTTGCTACAGATGCATATTTCCTGAACCTCCACCGCCAGAAACTGTAACAAACTGCGGAGATGGAGGGATTCTTGGTGTAGGTAAGAGAACAATTTCTGTGCTATGTAAGATAGACTCTATTAGTATTCAAACTAAAGTGAAAGAATTTAAGGTCTTTAAGAGTCATTCGCGGTTTTCTTTCAATTCACACTAAACAACCACAACTGATTTTTTAAGGCTTTAATTCTCTCACTTTAGCTCCAATTTTTGTGTATTTTGCAGTTTACACAATTTAATTTGATGTCATCTACATTTAAGAGATATTGTTCAATGTTGGATATTTTATAGCTGTGGGAACAATTGGTGTACTGCAAGCACTAGAAGTATTAAAAATCATACTTGACCTGCCCGATGTAATTTCCGGGCAAATGTTGTTGTTCGACGCAATGGAAACCAAGTTCATAAACGTACGTTTACGTCCAAGGAACGCGAACTGTGTTGTTTGCGGAGAACAACCTGTTATACGCGAGTTAATAGACTACGAAGAGTTCTGCGGAGCAAAAGCGAACGACAAGAATCCAAATTTGAATTTGCTCAAGAGAGAAGAGAGGATAACAGTCGAGGAGTATAATCGGATCGCGAAGGACAATTCGGAACCTCACGTACTGATTGACGTACGTTCACCTGAAGAATATCAGATTTGCTGTCTACAGAACTCGATCAATATTCCATTCGCAGAAATCGACAAGGACCATAGCTTGCAAGAAATAAGGAATAGCGTAAAAAAGCTGCAGGAAAAGCATCCTGCGGTAAATTGTAAGAATCACACATTTACAGTCTTGTAATTTTTTTTAGAATATTTATTTTTGTGATTGATATACAGTAATAAAGTTAGACATACATTACATTTTTCTTCTTTTTTTCCAGTGTATTTTTTATGCAGACGCGGAAACGATTCGCAAAAGGCTGTACAATGTCTGAAAAAGGTATTTACTGAAGATACCTTAAGTATAAGAGATATAATTGGAGGTATTCACGCTTGGAGCAATAAGATTGATCCAAGTTTTCCAAAATATTAAAAAAGTGTAAGATATCCGATATAATTATGTCATTTTATATAAAGATAAGCTATTTTAATAAATCTGTCAAATTTTGGAATTATATATATATATATAATTTATAGATATATTCATTAATTCGTAAATTCCTCCTCTTTCTATCATTTTTCTCTTTACATCTGTTGTTCTTGAAACTCTACGTATTCTATTTACAGATATTATATATTTAAGTCGCATATTTTTCTATTTCTTCTGCAGTCAGACTAGTTTCCGGGTATTTGTAATGAGAATCTGGTAAGCTTCTCAATTTCGCTGCCGCTTGCTCCGGTGTCAAATCTCTTTGCGCTTGGGCCAAAAGTTCATAACCGACCATGTGTTTTTTTATGGTAGCGGATCGCAATAAAGGCGGTAAATATATCCCGTGAAAGGTCCAGTATGGATAATCACTGTTGAGATGTGGACCAGTTGGTGCGCCTATAAATTGCGCTTGTAAATTCATGAATTCATAATAATTACGATAACGTAAAATAGCACATAACAATCTAAGGTGTATATTGTTAACATTTACCGTGCCATCCCATCGAATACGGGAAGGAACATTGAAAGAGGTTGTCGTATTTGATGCATAATCTCTTGATGATAACCGATAGAGATTCTTGCTGACTGTCCGACAAGTCCTGCATTCTGGTCACTTGCTTCTTTGGCAACACCATAGTCTCGTATGGCCAAACTGCCCAGAACGGTACCACGACGATCCAGTCACGATTCTCAATCACGATACGATCCTATAAATTGTCGAAGCCGTACAGATACCGAAGATCGAATGCTGAATGTATAAGTTGTTGCGTTTGAATTTTGTCATATTACAAGAAAATACGTATAATCTACAGCTACAACAACACTGACCTTCTTTAAGACTTCCTTTTGCACGTAGTCGATGAGAAGAGGCTTCTTATTGCGATTATAATAGTCGCCGAGATATTCGTCTTTTATTCTAGCTTCATTCGGCAAAAACGAGCTGGCCCATATCTGGCAGTGAGGATGAGCATTGCTGCAACCCATCAGAGCGCCTCTGTTCTCGAATATCTGCACCCACAACCATTTCTCGCCCAGCTCTAGCATCTCGAAGATCCACCTGTCGCATTCTGCAATGTATTTAATTTCTCGAAAGCGTGAGCACTCGATACGACCTGTTCGAGCGTCACTAACCGTTTCACCACCTCCTTGATCTCATGGATCTTCATCAACGCTATCGTCACGTTCGACTTTGGATGAAAGCACATCACTTTACAGGTACCTTTGGCAGAGCTCATCTGGAACAATTCGTCGTCGGCTTCTGGAGGATCAGGTACCGACTCCAGTAAGGCGGGAAAATCGTTGATGAACGAATATGTGTTTTGGTATATCGGAGTTACCTGCGATGCAAGATAGTGATCACAAACAGTGGAATTGTAAAAGTGATTAAGCAGCAGAATTTCATTTGTATATCATACACAAATAAAAAATAAATCAACTGACATCTCCACTGGCCCTGACATTTCCTGGGCAGAGTGGATTGTTGGGATCGTAATCGGAGAGCTCCTCATCAGTATTAGGTTCAATCTGGCCTCCCCAAGGTCGTTTCATACGGTGAGGAGATACCAGCACCCATTCTCCTCTTAAAGGATTGTATCTTATGTGTTGATGTTCTGTGAAACACACAGTAAGTAAATATTTGAGTAATATACCAAGTGAGCAGATTGGAAATAAGTAAAATCTGAAATACACTTTTTATATCTAACCAATTGGATCAAATACCAATGAGGAATTGCTTTCCTCATTGCCTGTTCCATGTTTGGACTGGTCCTGCGATCCACCTGTTACAAATTCATGGATTTAGATAATTTTCTTTGAAACAATCTGTACATCAATGTAAAGGATAAATTCCAAGAAATTCATTGAGTTTATATGTTTGTTTTGTATTGGAATTGCAAGATTACATAACAAATCAGAACCTCTCTATCAATATCACGTTGTATAAGTTGTATTACATAATTTTTTTTGTATTTTTTCCTCTTGTAAGATGATACTATAATGTTTCAAATAAGTATGTAATGTATATATAAGAGATACAATAAAATATTCTCATAGTGCCATTATTAATGAACATATATAGAAAATATATTTACTCTTCTAGAAAAAAGGAGAATCATGAGAAAATGTTACATATTGTATTGCACAGCTATTAAAACACTAAGTAAAGTACTCAATGACAATAACATTACATGACGTATATTTAATTTCGTTAATTGCACTCACCTCTATTCGACATTTGTATGCGATAACCTCGAACAACTGCTCCGATAACGCGTCGAAGCAATTCTACGACGATTGACGGCAAATTAAGCGTATGAGGTCTCTTTCTTTCGCGGTTCACGTGCACTGCATTTTTTGCAGATAACGAGCGTACATAACTTTACATTGGTCGAGCAAAAATTCGAAGCAGTTACGAAAGCGAAATACCACATATGTATAAAAAGTGATCATAATTTGGTACTGTTTACTTCACCGACAGATCCTGTTTCAATATTTTTCGTAAAGAATATCGAGACCTAATTTTCAGGTTATAAACAATAAAAGAAAGATTCTCATAAATTCTAAATTTCTGAGAGAAGAGAAATAGAGACAGATAAATAATATAAAATAGATTCTTTGCAATTAATATCTCAAATTTGTTTCAAGAGGATCTTATGGCTTAATTACAAAAGTATATAATGAAATCGAAAATTGAAAAGTTGTGATACAAATATTTCTTGAAGAAAATTATGTTTTTCATTTCAGTCGAGAAATTTACTATAATAGAATTAAGCTCACAAATCGCGAGATATCCTGTGTATAAATTGCAATAAGAAACTAATAAGAACAATTGAATACAAATATTTCATTAATTTAAATATTCGCGCGGTTCTCCTTCTGAATTCGAGGAAAATGGCGGACCAATCAAAATGCTTAAATTGAAGATTATTGGGCTGCGTTCGAGGAGACGCTATTAGAATAACTCTACGTAGGATTTGTCGACGATTCCTGTAGACCCTCAAAAAATCATTTTCTGAATATAATAGACTTATTACAAAATGTAAGTATCTGTTTTGCATTTGTCACGTTAAATTTCTGACGCTAATTCACTACGAATTTTAGCGGGTTTTAAACAACTCTTCATGCGCACATAACCTTTATTTCTATGTTTTTGTTTAGCTACATGTGATTTTAATATATAGATAATATCTAATAATAAGAAAAAGACCGCATGTGTTTTAAAAACCTTCATGTTATTAACGACGCAATTGTTTTAGGTCGTCTCTAACTAAACCAAAATCTGAAATGACGCCTGAGGAGTTAGCGAAAAGAGAGGAAGAGGAATTCAATACCGGGCCTCTTTCAGTTCTCACGCAGTCAGTCAAAAACAACACACAGGTGTTGATAAATTGCAGAAATAATAAGAAGCTTCTGGGACGAGTCAAAGCATTTGACAGGCACTGCAACATGGTTTTAGAGAATGTAAAAGAAATGTGGACGGAACTCCCACGTACAGGAAAAGGCAAAAAAAAGGTGCAGTCTATATTCACGTATATATTTCCAAAGAATTTAATGTTTCTTAAACCTAACTTTATCCATGAATATTCTATAGGAATTTTATTTAAGGATTTTAATTGTTTTGATTTGATCATCATTGTTGTCGATGATAATTCTTTTGTCTATATTCTCGATATTTCTCTCTCTCTCAAGACTATATTTCTAATTTAATAACTCAGGAAATTATTCCCATCCGATCACTTGTTGAACTGAACAAATGTTCATATTCTCAAATATTGAATATTATTAACAAAAATATTTATAACAGGCAAAACCAGTAAACAAAGACAGATTTATCCCAAAGATGTTTTTACGTGGAGATTCTGTCATTCTGGTTTTAAGGAATCCATTGGCAACTGCAGCAGGGAAGTAATAAATTATAACTCTTCTATATATTGAATAAATTAAGGATAACTTTAAAAAAATTGTACAAGATTAAGATTACATTGATAATAAATACTTGAAATAAAACTTTTAAGTACGGCCGCGTAAATGTGTTATTTATTAACGTGTTGTACGTCTTTTTGCGTATACACCCTTTATACCAATATCCGTAACATTTTAAGTATCAAATAGAAAATGTGTGTTAAGCAGAACTTTTCATGATTTATTAGAAATTCTATACAAGATTATTAATCCTTCTCGGCGATCGCAGTTAAATGCTTATCGATCTCTTGCTCGGTCAGGACACTGCAACAAAGAAATCCTTCATGAGGAAAACTGCGACGCTACGAGTACGTAATGTCTACAAAAGTTTAAAAGAAATATTAAAAAAGCCAAAATTATATATATATATATATATCAGTTACCGGAATTTAGGATTATCCTTTGATACTACGCCAACCTCGATCTCGGTAGGTTTAAAATCTACAGACAAAACAGTAGACAAGCAAGTAATAGCCAATTGTATGGTCTCGTCGTAATCGTAATTCTGTTTCTTCTTTAGTTTCTTCTCAAGATAGGAGTTTGCTTCAGTCTGTTTCGCGCCTACGGAGATAGCTCTGTAACCACAGAAGTATCCAGCTGGATCAGCTTTGTAGATACACGGGCCTTTCTCCTTGTCATATGCAATGAGCATCATTGAGCACCCAAGGGGTCGCATCTCTGCATTCTGCGTGTACACCTGACTGATGTCAGCAACACGCTGGCACAAGGCATCCACAGGTATCTCATAACCAAACTTGTATTTGAAGTGAGCGGCTTCATAGCGAGCACGTTGAACTTGAGACCTGCTGTCAGCTGTAAAACAGAGGTCAAAAGACACAACGTTTAGCACAAAGGTCAGAAGGTAAAATACTCAAATGCACAGGCTTGATGCAGTTTGTGAAATATCCAAACTCACCTATCATGCCCGTCATAACGCAACCGATGTATTCAGTCAGGTGAAATACATGAGTGACACTGGAAGCATCGAGCAACTTGTCCTAAAAGAATTATGTTTCAATGTACTTTTCTATATGTAAACACACGTAACGTAGTCAGTACGATTTAAAATCGATAGATCACACGGAGAAAACGTCAACCATGGCGAAATTCTGATGAAGCGTAAAGCGAAATCTCATTTGGAGGTTATCTTACAGGTACTTTCTTCTGTGTCGCGAAAACTGCGGTCTCGACTCCCTTAACGGCCACGGACGTGAGACCACCTTGATTGATGGCTTTGAAGGCATATTCTGTGGAAAAAAATTTCGAGGAATGACAATGTTTGCAAGCTCCGAAGTGCAAAACACGTCGAGTCATCGACGTGCGCGAACGAACGAGAAAACGGATGATCCGCGCGAGCGATCATGCGGATAACATAAACGTCGTTCGCGATGTCGCGTTGGACGTTTCCGCGATCCTTACCCACTTGATAAAGCCGGCCCTCCGGCGAAAAGATCGTGATGTGTCTATCGAAACCTGCACTGCTGCCTCGCGCCATGTTTGCAATACACGAATCAACAATTATGCTCCGAAGTCGATGGGAAAACGTCAAATCATGTAAAGTGAGCAAGGACCGACTGTAGTTCAGTTATTTGGTCTGTGGTCTGTTCTTTTCAGCTGCACTGGTGCAATAAGTTAAAGTGAGACAAGTATATGTTTTCTCACTTTAACTTATTGCACCAGTTCAGCAGTGCAGCTGAAAAGAACAGACCAATAGATTCATAGTCGGATCTTATTTTTAAGACCATCTTAAGTTTATCTCGAGATGCTCTACGGTTTATTTTATTGGCTACAAAGCGTCTGAAAATAAATTAAGATGGTCTTAAATATAAGATTCGTCTATGAATACTGGGGCTTTATTCTCGAAAAATATTGCATACGATATTTCTATAAAAAGCTATAGTTCATGTTACATATATTATAGCTTTTTAGAAATATAGTATGCGATATTTTTCCGCGATATTTTATCAATCGCATTTCTCTTTGTCAGAGTTAACAGATGCGATTAATCAATTCCGTTGAAACAACCAGCCGGTTAAGTTAACTAAAGTTAGTAGAAACGGGCATAAGAGAGGTAAAAGGCCTGTTCTTGTAGCTGTACTGTTGAACTAGTGCAATAAGTTAGAGTGAGAAAACGTATATTTGTCTCACTTCAATATATTGCACTAGTTCAGCAGTGCATCTACAAAGAATAGGCCTAAATTCGACAATGTCTCGCATTTTATAACGAGAAATGAAGCGACAACGGAAGGAAAGATTAGAGATTTTATAATATTGGCCAATATTGCAATCTTTTTGATAATTATCAAACAAATCCCGAAAAATTGACAATGGTTGCGTTCAGCAGAAAAAGCAGCTTTGCAACTGTTGTAAGATTTTCAGTTGAACGTCATCTAGCGCTTTATGCTTTTCGTACATGTTTACTTAGCAGTTGCCATGTTTTCCAGCGTAACGAAAGTACGCTGAATAAGCGCAACATATTGGAAAGCGTGTATAGTTCCGAAAAAGTGCGTTTTAGAGAAAGTAGAAGTCATACGCTGGTAACGCAGCGCAAAACGCTTGCAAAGCTGCTTTTTCTGCTGAACGCAACCATTGTTTGACAGTGCCCTCTATGGTGACATACGCGATTGGCTCGCTCATCGTATCTCACATGGTATTCGTCGGAATGAAAGTTTCTCGTCTCTCTCATAGGTTGACATACAATGCGATTGAATTCAAGTTCAAATAAATGAAAGAAGTTCCTGATAACCGTCATTCGGTTGAGCCGAGTCTTGGGAAGAAAGGAAGTTGTCGTAGACCGTTGTGCTGGTTTTACTGGTACTCTGTGTGTCGCACGAGTGTCAAAAGAATCACCGATTGAATTCTTGTGAGACAAATTATTGGTTCGTAAAACGGACAAACATGTCACTGACGCGTGAGCATTAGGTAATTGTACAATTAATAGTAAGATTCGTAAAGGATTGTACTTGTGTTGCGACTGTGTGCTGCGACTGAGGAACTGAGTATATTATAGTGAGCTACGAGGTTTGTTTTTGAATTTGAGGTATTGTAAATTATCAAATTTCAACTTTACATTCTCATTTACTGGAAGTATAAAAATGATTTCTTATTATGCAAAATTGAACGTCTAGTTTGAAATTTTCAATAGCATAGTAAGAATATTTTTTTATGAATTTTTTATGTAATTTTGCTTTTATTTTTTGCATGAGATAATCTATTTGAATGCATGCATTATTTAAAGTGTGCAGTAAAATTGTATGTATATTAGTTCACAACGTTGAACAGAATACAGTATAAAGTCTTAACTAGCAGTTGCTTCATAAAGTAACAGTATTGTGTATATATTTACATACTGCTTTACATATATATTTACATACTGCTATATTATATTCTGTATGTATTAGAGTAAGTTCTTTTAAATAATTAAAAATTTCATCGTTTCTCATAGATGGAATCTCGTTTGCCAAAACCAAAAATTACCTTGAAAAAGATCAACAATACAATGGATATAAATACTAATATAAGTACTAATATAAACACCAATAATAATAAACAACAAGCAGCTAAGTATGGGGAAAATGCTGCAAAGTCGACAAGTTCAAAGACTACAAATGAAAATAAACTATTAGCTAAACCACCTTTAGTTCGCTCAAAGACATTATCAACAATTACAAGAGTGACAAGCAATGCAAAGCCTATTAAAAGAACAGCTACTACAGTTACCACTGTGAGTGAAGCTAAGAGACCATTTGTTAAACCAAAAGCATTAGCAAATAGACCCAATGCATTGAACAATAACACGAACAAAGCATCTCAGAGTGATACAGGAAAAATACAAAAATGGGATTTGCGTGGTCGGTTAGCACAGACAAGTGATAAACTGTCTCTTGCACAACAGAAGAATAAAGACATAGAGACCAAATACAATGAGCTTCTAGAGTTGACTAATTCGTTGAAAAGTAATATGGCTACGTGTAAGAACAAAGCTGAAGAACTAGAGACTTCGAACAATGCATTAAGTAGTGAACTGGAAAGTCTAATGACAGAAATGTCTACGATGCGACAGGAGAATGTAGATTTAACAAAACGTTTGAAAGAATCGGAAGAATCCTACACGAGCGTCTCTCATACATTGAAGGAACTTCAAGAAGAGCACAGTGCACAAGAAGTATTGCTCTCTGAACAGAATGGACAATTGATAACTCTGAAAACTATGATAGAGGCACAGGAGAAAGTAAACAAGAGTATGAACACTAAAATCAATGAATTGCAGGCTTTAACTCACAAAATGGACAAAGAACGTAGATTACTGCATAATGCTATACAAGAATTGAAAGGCAACATCAGAGTCTTCTGTAGAGTTCGTCCGAGAACTCCAAAGGAAAATGAACTGATGAAAATGTAAATAGATATCTTACCTTAGTATTTCTTTCTCTTAATATTTTTCTCTTGCATTGTACAAATGAATTTTCTCCAAAACTTAATTAGCAAACTTGAATGAAGTTGTTTGTTTTATTTGTAGGACATGTAGCATAAACTACCTGGATGATTGCACTATAGAGGTAGGCAAGCTGGATGGATCGGACGCGATGAGTTGCAGTGGGAAGCAACGAGGCACGAAGCAAGAATTTTCCTTCGACAAAGTATTCGCGCCTAATGCGTCGCAAGAGAATATATTCGAGGAGTTGTCTCTTTTGGTACAATCTGCACTAGAAGGGTATAACGTTTGCGTGTTCGCTTATGGTCAGACTGGTTCTGGCAAGACATACACTATGGAAGGAGATTACAGTCTAGAAACTGAAGGAATGATACCTAGAACAGTATGTTATTGCGTATTTGTGATTATATTAGAAATTATTAGGGATAGATCTGATTAATTTCCTTTTTTTTTTTTAATATCTCAGAATCTTGATGTTTTTATCTGTTTATTTCGATTTAATCAAAATTAATTATGTGGGTGTGTGATCTCAGGTACGACATATATTCAAAGAAATGAAGCAGTTTGAGCTCCTTGGCTGGCACTATCAGATAGAAGCGAGCTTCTTAGAAATTTACAACGAACATATCGTTGATCTTCTCGATTCTCAGCCGAAGACCCATGAGATACGAATGGTCGACAGCAAAGGACAGGATTTGTATGTTACCAATCTTCTAGTGAAAGAGATACATAGCCCGGAAGAGCTGCATGAATGTCTTCGGACTGCGCAACGCAATCGAGCTGTTGCAGCTACGCATTCAAATGAACGGTAAGAGTGTGTTACTTTGTGTAAGAAAGCGATAGATTAGTCCTATATTTAATATCGATATGCTTGAGAAAACAGCATCTTATTATTTATTTATTTATTTATTTATAATGCCTTGCTTTACAGATCATCCAGGTCACATTCAGTAGCACGAATACGATTGATCGGTACACACGTTACAAAACAGGAAGTATCTGTGGGAAATTTGAATTTGGTTGACCTAGCCGGATCCGAGCGTTTAAAAAGCGAAGAGGTTGCCAGGACCACAGAAACGAAAAATATTAACAAGTCGCTAGCGAATCTTGGAAATGTCATCCTGGCACTTTTAAAAAAACAGGAACACGTTCCCTACAGAAATTCTAAACTGACTCACTTACTCATGCCTTCTCTGGGAGGCAACTCGAAGACTTTGATGTTGCTAAATATATCTCCGTTAGACGAATGTTACAACGAGACGTTAAATTCGTTGAGATTTGCCAGCAGTGTTAACAATTGTAAGACTGGTAATGTTAAGAGAAGCCGAATGCTCTTAACAAATACGAATGTTTAAAAAAAAAATAGAATATCCTCATTATAGTTCTGGGTAAGAGTGCTTTCGATTTTACATAATATTTTACTTTACAAACGAAGTATATTAAACAAAGCATTTTATTATTCGTGTGTGTATGATGCATGTATTCTTCGAAAATTGCAATTATAACCCAAATGTACATATTTTAAAGAAAATATATTGTCTGGGTGACAAAACCTTGATATATTTTTCCATTTTTCATAATAATCTGTACCTTTGATTACAACGCTTTCGGATCGGCTGATTTGAGCGACAACCTCCGCGTCTGGTCGCATACCTGCGTCATGTCCTTCTCACAGCTGCCAAGACATCGGTGATATGAACTGATTATGGAACATACTGAAGAAATTAGCTCGAAGATGACTTTGCTCTCGTCCTTCAGTGGGACTTCTTGATGGTTGCGTGGGTCTACCCGGCCTCGGTGATAGAATCATGTCGCTCGGACTTCTACTAGGCGATGCATGCTCGCCGATATCCAGCTGTTTCATGAGACTCCTGAACGGTGAGCTCGTCATGAACTGCGCGACCATGATATTACTACAGATCTTGATGTCCTCGATTAGCTTTATCCAATTGGATGATTTGAGCAACAATCTCAGCGTCTGGTCGCATACCTGCGTTGTGCGCTTCTTCGCGGCCGCTAAAGTACACTGACCGTTACCCTGAACGTTACCCAATTGATGCTGTAGTGCATCAGGATGGCATCACCGATACGAGACAGGTATCGTATCAGCGCGAATATGAGGTTGTCGAACATGCGTTCATGTTCTCGAATTTCCCCATCGCCTTAATTATTATTATGCTGTACCCTGACGTCCTGTATCATCTAGAACCCTTTCGTCCTTATGCCCTTTCGCTTTTCAGGATCAACACAATATACATTGATGTCGATAGTTGCGATGAGTGAGCGATGAATGCTCTTTCAGCTGCGCGTTGTAATAAATGAGCTTCTCTTCAAATATACATGTTATTCTTCTTTGTTTTCTTATATTGACATTTCTTGTATTGACATGAGCTAATTTCTGTGAAAATGTTCTTCAAATATTTCGCTTTATTAAATTCGAATTTATATAAATATGTGTAGCGAAATTGATAAAAGAATATCTTCATGATAAGTCGCCTAAGTTCAAGCCTTGCGTAGGACTTTTGTTAATTTTTCCAGAATCTCTCGTTATTTTAATGTATAACTCATCAATTTAATAAGGCGAAAACTTCAATATTTTCGACAGAGAACGTTTACGCTTTATAATATATCTTAAGATCAAAAGAAGTTAAGATATGCAAGTGTTTATTGATATAATTATAAAATATAAAAGGGGATGTAACGCGGCAAATGTAAGTTCTTGTTACAATCTTTAATTAGAAGTTGTTATAGGCCGGTATTCATAGTCGAATCTTATTTCAAGACCGTCTTAAGTAATGTCTTAAGATGCGAATACGGCTCTGAAATTGGTTCATGACATCTTAAGACAGTACTTAAGATGATTTTAAATGTAAGATCGGACTATATCAGCCATAGATTCGAGCCTATTTAGCTGAGATTCGAACCCAAAAGTACTTGAGTGACCTGAGGAGAGGCCGTCAGTGTCGGCCAGTTGTTTCCGTATGCAATCATTAGATGGCGCCAAAGAGACAGTTTATAATCGCGTATCAACGGGCTAGCGAATCGGCTGTGCCGGAGTGCGGTCAACGAAGTGTGGTGAGCACGTCACAGAGTACCGATCCGTCACGGTCCGTTATCACCGTGCCGCGTCGTGCCGTATGACAGGCGGACTGATCGCGCCTCCGTAGAGTGTCCGAATCGTCGTCGTGCTCGCAAGACGGGAAAACTAGAGAGAGAGAGATACAAGAGCTGCCGTAGCAATGGCGATGGGCAAGGGTTTTCGCATCTACGAGAAACTAGACTCGCCCAAGCCGCACTCGCTCATCCTGGAGCAGCGGAATCGTAAGGAGACCCTGCTCTTTGAGTCCCAGGCGGTTGCTGTTCTCTGTAAGTAGACGGGCTGTGTTTTGGTTGGCCGTGGCCGAGTATCGCCGGCGACGCCGTTCTCGCGTAGATCTGCTCGCTTTAACTGCACTCACGTGCACTCTTTGTGTTTAAAGCGAGACAGCCGTGTGTATTCGGGGCTCGATGAGAAAAAGGACGGTGAACGGAGAATGACATTTGAAAGAAACCGATTTGACAGCTTGGCATTGTTTTGCCGGGCGCAGATCGCAGTCTCACACTCTTTTTCTCTAACCTTTTATTTTCGACTCAGCGATGCGCGGTTTCCCTGATGAAAGTTTGCGATTACTTAAATAGAGCAGAGAGATGATCTTGATGAATTTAACACGAGCACTGTGTCGAAAATTGGTTTCTCCAAGATAATCAGGTAGTTTCTCTAAAAGTAGAGAAGATGTGTTGTAGATTGAAGATTCGGACCCAGCATCGTGAGCAAAACAGATAATGCAAAATTTCTAGGATCTTAATGCCTGCTGAGATAATATTTCAAGTTTATAGTTTAGTTTACTTGAAACGTAATAGAAAATTTAACACTATAGTTATATATATATATATATATATATATATATATATATATATATATCTCTTTTATATACATCTTGTTTTATTTATAATAAACTACTTAAATATCTACAAAAATTTTAGTTTTACTTTGATATAAATTCCAATAATTATTGTAGGCAATAGAGTACTCAATTCATATTTAATATTATTTATTTTAAGAACTGCGAAGAAAGGAGACTATAGAAACAAAAGAGATCACAGTGTATATTTCCAGAGTTAAAAATTTCGGATTGTCACTGATATATTGTTTACAGCCAGCGAAGAGCACGAGTTCCTAAAGCCAAAGTACAATAAGCTATTGGATGCTTACGGATGTCTGGGTGTTCTACAGCTAAATGCAGGAGACAACACCCTGTTGTATTTGGTCTTGGTTACTGGATGTTTCTCTGTGGGAAAGATTGGCGAATCAGAGGTCTTCAGAATCACACAGTCGAGTTTTGTGCCTTTGTTTTACAATCAGGGAACTGAGGATCGTGTATCTGAGGTCAGAAAGGTTCTCAATTCCGGAACATTTTATTTCTCCTGGTCTGCCGGGCAGGAGTCACTTGACATCACTCTGAGTGCTCAGAGGAGGTGCAAGTCCACGACTACAGACAACAGGTTCTTTTGGTTAGTAATAATCTTGCTGAGAGCTTTATAATGCAAATTTTTTACAATGCAAAACCAAGTTACAGACTTTACTTTGTGTAAAATAGAAGCAGCAAAGAGAAATTGATATCCTAAATTGTCTTTGCAATTGCAGGAACCGAATGCTACACATTCATCTTCTGAGATATGGTGTGGACACGAGTCAGTGGTTGTTGAAGGCAATGTGCGGCAGCGTGGAAATAAGAACTGTTTACGTTGGGCACAGACAAGCTCGCGCGGTGCTTATGTCTAGATTAAGTTGCGAGCGCGCTGGCACTAGGTAAGACGGTTGGTTTCCTCGGCATCAGGAAGAGATACGCGACGATGTGCTTAAAAATAGATCTATTTTCCCATCTTATAACGTCGTAAAATATCTATACTTGATAAGAGCGCGCAATGTACCTCTCGTAATATTCTGCAAACATATGACCAATTGTGATCGCATGCGCGTTACAACTCATAGATAAGCAAAGTCCATCAAAGCCCATATGGCCTCGTGATAACAAATATTAGCGTACTCTTATCAGCAGAATATTTATGTTGAAATTCTGAGAATGATCTCTCATATGCAGATTCAATGTCAGAGGAACCAATGACGACGGGCATGTAGCGAATTTTGTGGAGACCGAGCAGGTGATTTACATAGATAATGAAGTGACCTCCTTCGTTCAAACGAGAGGGTCAGTGCCGTTGTTCTGGGAACAGCCTGGCATACAGGTCGGCTCCCACAAGGTGAAGATCTCGCGTAGTTTCGAGACATCCGCGCCGGCCTTCAATAGGCACCTGGAGATAATCAAGAAGAGGTATGGCAAACAAATGATCGTCAATCTCCTCGGTTCGAGTCCGATCGGCAGTAAGGAAGGCGAGACGATGTTGAGCCAGTTGTTCCAATCCCATCACAACTTGTCGGAGCATAAAGATGTACCACATATCTTGTTCGATTATCACCAAGAGTGTCGTGGCGGCAACATGAAGAACCTGTCGAAGCTGAAGGCGAAAGTCGAGAGGTATCCGGAGCCTTTCTCGTTGTTCTACGCGGTTGGCAACACGGTGATCCTCGAGCAAACCGGCACTATCCGGACGAACTGTCTGGATTGTTTAGATAGAACGAATTGCGTGCAGACCTTCTTCGCGCTCGAGCAGCTATCCAAGCAGATGGGCTTGTTGAAATTGATGGAGAAGCAGCAGATGGTCTCACGGTTTGAGGAAGTGTTCCGTCAGATGTGGATCAACAATGGCAACGAGGTCAGCAAGATATATGCGGGCACGGGCGCGATCCAAGGCAGCTCCAAGTTGATGGACGGTGCGAGATCAGCAGCCAGAACGATACAGAACAACTTGTTAGATTCCAGTAAGCAAGAGGCGATTGACGTCTTGCTTTTGGGATCGACGTTGAATACTGAATTGGCCGATAGAGCGCGTTTACTGCTGCCTTCCAACATGCTGCACGCTGCGCCGAATCTCTTGAGGGAGATGTGCAAGCGCTACAATGAGTATGTGACAACGATGAACCTCCGGGTGAGCGTCGGTACCTACAACGTTAACGGAGGGAAGCACTTCAGGAGTGTAGTTTACAAGGACGTGTCATTGTCCGATTGGTTATTCGGTGGACCACATAGATCTTCTTGTAAGTATCCTTTCGTTGAAAGTATTTGGTTAATTTAAACATCTCTTTTTTTTGTTTATGTATATGCGCGTGTATTATAAGGTTTGTATTTCTAAAAGCATATTTCATATTATTATTACAATACATAATTACCAGAATATGTCATAAATATATTAAAGTATATCAAGAAACTTTTTTTAAGAACGAACAAAATAGTCTATGTTTCTTATTGTAGAATTATCAATACATTAATTCACAGATGTGTTAAATATAACAAGACTTCTGTGGAAAAGTATTTTAATGTTTATCACTTTGTAATAAAGACTATAGATCTTATTTGTAATAAGGAATATAGACTATGTTTTTTGTTAGTTTTTAAAAAAGTCAACATATTTGTGAACTGATGTATCGATGTCGTTTCAATAATATATAAACAATTTTTCTAATCTATATAACGTTTTCTTTTTTCAGTCGCCTTGGAAGAGCCTGACGATGTACCTGTGGACATATTCGCGATAGGATTTGAGGAGATCGTTGATCTGAACGCCAGCAACATTATGGCCGCTAGTTCGGACAATGCCAAGGCTTGGGCTGAAGAGCTGGAAAGAGTATTGGTCAAGAACAATAGGGCATACGTTCTCGTGACGTACCAGCAATTGGTCGGCGTCTGCCTCTATTTGTTCATACGTCGCGAACACGCGCCTTACTTGAGGGACGTGGCGGTGGATTGCGTGAAGACGGGATTAGGAGGTGCTACCGGTAACAAAGGTGCTGCAGCAATCAGATGCGTGCTGTATTCCACTTCCTTCTGCTTCGTCTGCGCGCACTTCGCCGCCGGTCAGTCCCAGGTGAACGAACGTAATGCCGATTACGCTGAGATTACGAGGAAAATCACGTTTCCCATGGGCAGAACCCTCAACACACACGACTACGTGTTCTGGTGCGGCGATTTTAACTACAGAGTCGACATGGACAAAGACGAGATGAAGGAGCTGATCAAACGAAACGAACTCGATCAGATACTGCAATACGATCAATTGAGGGTACTGTGCAATATCTGATATTTGTACAAAATCTATAATAACCATCCTGCAATATTGAAATGATAAAAAAATCTTGTTTCTTTGGCGCAAGATCTGTGTAGAAGAAAAACGAGCGATCGGTATTCAGAGATACACGTAAGTTTAATTTGTAACAGCACTTGAATGAGTCTTTCGTACTTCAAGGTTCAACAAGAGCAGGGTAATGTCTTCAAGAACTTTCTGGAGGGACCTATTACCTTCGCGCCTACGTACAAGTACGATCTTTTCTCAGACGATTACGACACCAGCGAAAAGTGCCGGCAACCCGCGTGGACAGATCGCGTTCTGTGGAAGCGTAGGAAACAAGTACCTGATATCGGTTGGTACAAATTCTGTCACATCTCACGCACTCGCGTCCTTGATACGTAATCGGATGTAATTATATTCAACGATCACTATTTCTCAGATTCTCCTACAGACTGGAATCCGGGAAAACTCCTTTACTACGGCAGGGCAGAGTTGAAACAGAGCGATCATCGGCCGGTCATCGCGACCATCGACATTGACGTGCACTGCGTCGACCCTGAGAAACGCGAGCGCGTATTCAAGGAGGTGATACAGGATCTCGGACCGCCGGATAGCACGATAATAGTCAAGGCGGTGGAGGAATTCGAGGACATGGACAGTGTGTTCGACAACAATCTCATGTTCGCGCTGATACAGGACCTGTCTCACATTGGCGAGGTGATCCTGGTGCGCTACGTCGGCGAGACCATCTGGGTGACATTTAGGGACGGTCAGTGTGCCTTGGCTGCCGCGAAGAAAGGCATGACGCAAGTGTGCGGCCAGACGCTGAGGTTGTCGCTCAAATCACCCGATTGGGTGCAGTTGATCGAGAAAGAGATCGAGATCTGCAGCAACACCACTGTCGCGCAATTCATGGCGAGCTCGCCGCTCAGGAGTCCCATGCAGCGATTGGAACAGTTGGAAATCGGCGAGCGCGCGTCACCTAGTAGAAGCAGTCCGAGCGACGTGATTCCACCGCCGAGACCAGCGCCACCAGGTCGACCCGCGCAACCACCGAGGAGTCCCGTTCAAGAACGAAAACAGGGTCCTCGAGCTGGGGTCTTCAGTGTGTTTCACAATCAGTTCGCACCGTTGACACCACCCTCGACACCAGCGATCGCTGATCAAGCCGCAAAGGATCCTCAGGAGGACGAGAGTGGGAGGCTGTCGCCGGATTCTGCCATCTACGAGGAGATTCCGGACGGGTCGCCCAGTTACCCGGTGCCGAATCGACCACCGCCTCCGTTACCGCGCATGGATAGCCCTCAGGAACCGCTGAGTCGATTACCACCCAGCAGACCGCCGCCCAGCTCGATGCCACCTTTGTTGCCGCACAGGCAGGCTCCGCCGCCGCCGCCGCCGCCGCAACATCTGCCACCCAATCTGCCGCCGTCGAGCGTTCCGCCGCCTGTTCCAGCCAGGACAGGCGGCGGCCCGCCTATTCCGGCTAGAAATCCTCATTAAGGCGAAAGGGACGCAACAAGACGCGTCCATGACCAGATTCGGTATGTTCGAGCGTGAACACTAGCGCATGATTATTTATGGTATTCAAACGACGAGACTGTAGTCGACAAGTCTTCGTTTCGACGCTGAGTTCCGAATACACGTAGCCCGTAGGTCTCTTCTTCCTTACTCACTCCTGAATCTGTTCTGTGATTAATTGCTCAGAGGATGATGGTAAGCATAGCCGGGGATAACTTCGAGATTATTTTCGATCTCACCGCGATCGCAAGAACGATTGGCTGTAGATTTGTATTTATATAATTATATAATTCCTGGATCTCTCTGTATCCTGCCTTTTACTCCGTTTGTAGTGACACACTTGTTAAACTCGTTAATCAATTCAGAGATAATACTTTGAGAGACCGTTGTTGTTTTCGTCATGAATGTTTAAACAGGAGATAGTGTTATCGTTTCGACGAACCGACCGATTTATGCATATGACATATATATATATATCATATGTGTCATATATATATATATATATAGAAAGATTTACAAATGTATATTCGAAATCCGTTGAATGTGTTGTAAAATTGGATATACGTTAATACATCGTGAACAAGTTAATGATCGTTGGAGAGTTCAAAGCGACGAGATATCCGCGGTATAATGATGTTACAGTTACTGTCACTGTATACCTCTTCGCTTGTATTGTATATTAATTTAAGGATAACTGTTGAGACGTGTTAGGAACGCTTTTGAGATATAAGTATTAAGATTTATGAATACCCACGAGCATTTTGGTAGTGTAAGTGTATTAAAAGAAAATGTAACTATGTAGCGCGCACGATCGCGAAGCACGTGGAGCAAACACTTAACTTTCAGACTTAATTTTATGTGTAATCGTATACGAGAGAAAAGAATAGGCTCAAACAGCAGTATTCTTATGAGTATAAGATATCCTCGTGATTGTACGGTGGAAAGAAGGGACGTTCAATAGCCCCTCCTTGAATTTCTCTGATTTCCTCAACGACACACGCTCGTCATCGATCGTCCTAAAGGCTGCTAATTTAACTAAGATCATTCTATGTGATTATTTTCGTTCATTTTTTCTAGTTTTGATGTTCCTATCTACATCTTGAACTCTGTAATATATCAGAAGAAGAGCGATCTAGCCGACTTGTTGGTTAAAAAGTGTTTCTAAAAGGTGATGCTTCAAAAGAACCACTATCGTCTCAATGTTCTCTAGGCATATTACACATGATATATATTTATATATATTATATAAATATAAAATATTATATATTTATATATCATAATATTACATATAATATATAATATATATTTATATATCAATATTATATATAATATTATATATATTACATGTATTATAAATTGTATAATTATTATAAAGTGAAATTATCAGATTGCTGATATATATACAAATACGTAAGTTTGTCGTTTACATCTGAACTAATATTTTCGGTACAGCGGTAATACGCGTGAAGCAGAGCAAGCATCATCACTTAGCCATTTTCTTCCTCGGCACTATGTTAATGGAACAGAATCCACGTTGATTTTCTTCTCGGTATGTTGCAGAGTTCGCTGCACCGTGCATTCCATCGGAAATCGCGAAGCGTCCCAATGGTCCAATGGTCCCGCCTAAATTTCTCCTTCATAAAACTTATCCTTTTGTTCTCTGGGAAATACACACACAGGATCATGATCTTTATAATCTACTATCGTCCATGAACAGACCTCACTAGTACTTCAACTGTCACAGATAATTGTACACAGAAGTTATTGCTGCATTTCCTAAAAAAATGTCTGACGATTGGTTGAGAATCTTGCTTCTCGCTTCAAATGTATCATTTGTATGTAATTAAATGGAAGATAAAGTTGTCGTCTACATGTATCATATTGTAACTGCCAAGGAAATATGACAGTTACGATGTGGCAGTCGAAGTACTGATTGCTATGCAGATTGTATATACTTTAATTTATCCCACTTTCAGTCTTCATCGCTCCCAGCCTCACTCACATCGTAAAGGTGGCACTAATCATGGGAAAATGGATGTGCATAATATGTATGTGTAAATTAGTATAATATAAAAATGTTTAGTTATGTAAGAAAGAGAGGAAGACAAGGAGAGTACAGTCTTCGAAAACAGTTTCAACAGCTTCATTCTGCACCTCGGCGACACGCATTACTTCGCGCGTTAGTTTCTGTATCTTACTAGTTAATAACCGAGCCACCTGTACAAGATGTAAAACACAAAAATATGTGTGTATATATATATATATATATATATATATATATATATATATATATATATATATATAAAATATACACATATGTGTACCGAATGATCTAATAAAGAGATCGGATAGGAATAGAGATAGAACCAGATCTTAAAAAAGAAAATTTCGTTTATTGATCTAAGCTGTATAAAGTGTTTGATTTCTCGACGTCTTGTACTAATGCTAACCTCGTCATTTCATCTGTTTGGCAAATCGTGAAAAATGAGAACAGAGAATCTCGTTTATATCTCCTAATAATACGTGTATATCTATATTAAAAAAAAACTCAAGCTTGTACAAAAGTCGGTTTTTCCAACTGTGAATCCATATAAATACATACTGTCATAGTAGAAATGCACAGAGAGCTGTGTCCGTCGTTGAAAAAGACAGATAGAGAGATACGAATTTCTTTTTTTTTCTTGCAACGCGAATGAATCATGAGCAAGAGGAGTGGAAGTTGTTTCCACTCTCAGCACATAGAGTCGCCTTTAGTGAATAAATTATATACAAAGAGATATTACACTAAAATTAATAGCTATCTAGCTCCTGGTTAGTAGAATTAAATACATTTAGCAAAAATGAAGTAACTTTTCACTTGCGCGAATTTCATCTCAATTGGAGTGAGTGCCCGATATGTGCTTCGTTTTTCGTTATCGCTACTACTTTTTTCTTTTTCACAGCGCAATATCCGGAACGAATTTTTCGATATTTTTTTCTAGGAAAATAGTACTTCGTTTTGAGAAATAAATGTGACTACTACGTCACGCGATGACATTTCATTGAACTCGTAAAGTACGATCGTACAATTTTCCAGAAATGATTGCTTAACGTTTTGGACAGTGCGTAAAAAAATTGTATCTAGCGATAACGGGAAATAGTGCGTCCCTGTGTCCAACTGCCGAGATTCTAGAATGTTTTGTTTATTTCAAGGTTTTTCAATTATCCAATGTGAAATCTCTGTGAGTTAAATAATAACATTATTCGTACTGAACGTCCAATGTATTATGTATTTACGTCAAATGTACGAAATGAGATAATAAAATCAAAAGTCGAATAGAATCGAGTGAAAAGTTACGCAACACTGTGATAGTAAAATATTCCAAGAGCTTATTTTGAGTGTTTGAGTAAAATCCTCGCATAATTGACGCATACTCGTGCTATACGGAACACGGGCACGATTTTCTGAAACTTCCGATCAGTCTCTTGTTTGTTTTTACTTTATTTCGCGAAAATCCGCGACCTACGTTATCGGCGTTCGCGAAATACATTACTTTTTCTCCTCCTCTCTGGCCCCACCTCTCGGCAGTTTTGTTCGCCGGCTGAGTATTGGAATGTTTAACTTAGTAATCCGCAATTACTCAAGTTGTTCTTGATTATCACGTCGGTCACGGCGTCGAACACGAACTGTATGTTGGACGTGTCGGTGGCGCAGGTGAAGTGCGTATAAATCTGCTTCTGGTCCTTCCGCTTGTTCAGATTCTCGAACTTCATCTGGATATAAGAGGCGCACTCCTCGTACGTGTTGGCGCCCTTGTACTCCGGAAAGCAAATGGTGAGCGGGCTCCTGGTGATCTTCTCCTCGAACAAGTCCTTCTTGTTCAGGAACAGTATGATCGACGTTTCGACGAACCACTTGCTGTTGCAGATCGAGTCGAACAGCTTCATCGACTCTACCATACGATTCATTTCCTCGTCCTCCGCCAATACTAGATCGTAGCCGCTCAGAGCGACGCAGAAGATGATAGCGGTGACACCTTCGAAGCAGTGTATCCACTTCTTTCTCTCAGATCGCTGGCCGCCGACGTCGAACATTCTACAAAAAGATAACCGATAAGACGTCAGATAAAATGATATAATTAAGTATAACCCTTAATCTCCAATCTGATCCTTAGTGAATTAAATATATTCACACACAATCAAATATGAATTAAAAATTTGACATTTCGCTCAAATATATATATAAAACTAATTTCATGTTAGCATTGTAGGACGTTGAGACTCTTGGCCGCGGCCATCTTAATTTGATACTAGAAGCGAGAAAACACACTAAAAATTCTCCCAAAATACGTAGAAATATAAAGATGTATCCATAAAATGATATCTGCAATTAATCGAGCAGAGATGTGTGAAACATTTTCTTTTTTGTTCTAACAATCAATAAGTAATCGTAAAATTAACATGACAAAATTATGATGAAAAGTAGGTTAAAAATATTGTGTTGTCACGTTAATTTTATGGTTATTGACTGTTAAAGTAAAAAGAAAGCGGTCAGACTATTTTACAGATGTGCCCGATCGATCGCAAGTGTCATTTTATGGGTATACCTTTTTATTTCAACGTATTTTGCAAGAATTTTTATCGTATATTCTTTCGCCTCTGTGGCACACACCGAGAGTTTTGTAGCGAGAGATCAACAGTCTTAAATTAATATACGATATGAAATATCTCGGCCATAACTGGCACACTAGATAAGTAGCGAGCGTACTTGAAGTGCAGGCCCTTGAAGGAGAAGTGTGTCTCCACAATACCGGTCGTTTTGACGCGCGTTCGCAGAACATCCTGCTGCGTCGGGATGTAATTGTGTTGCGCTATGCGGTCAAGTGCGTTCAAATAGTACGCTGCCGAATCGTTGATATGGTATTCCCTGCTACGTGTGAAACAGAGCTGCACTCCCGCGTCCTGCCATAACCGCTTCATTAACAGCACCAGTTCTCCGGTCAGTTGGCCCTCCTCCGCCGCCGCCGAGGCTAGGGTGAAAAATTGCCGCGCCATGTCCTACAACATAAACAAGAGGCTGATTATCTAATATCGCTGACGCACGAGGAAAAATGGCCAAGTGCAATTGATAACGTGTGATATTGGCTTGAGGTAGAGTCATCTTCCTCTTGAGTCTCTCGTTTTAAGTGCATTTACAGGTCTGGATATTTAAAGGGGAGAGGGGG